ACTTTTTAAACACGGAATGGTCCCACTGTCAAATACTACTCAAAAAACATTTGACAAATCTTTGATTCCTTTAATATAAGCTTGAGAAAGGAACATGACTTCCGCAGTTCAAAATATCCCCCATATAAATGAATGTGTTTGTTTTATCCGCATGTGATAACACTTATTTCTAGTCAACAAAGTTCCCGTTAGCTATGTTGAAATGGCATCGTACCTTAAGTGTGAAGTGACGGATGAGTTCAATTTTTTATTTTGTAGTCCAGGTGTGTCAAAGCTTCATGGCATCGCGGGGCGGTAAAAAAGTAGGGATCACCTCCTCCCATCTCTTCTGCACTGATTTATTATTTATAAGATCATAAAGAAACGATAATAGAATTGCTAAGAAATGAGGTGGGGGGGGGCGGCACGGTTAACGATCTAAATCCTTCTTAAACCCAAACATTCACCAAACAAATCAATTTTGACTATTGGAATATTGTAAATACAATTATTCTGTTTCGGCCTTAGAAGCTTTTCCCCGCAAAATGTATTACTACTCACTCTAAAGATCTTCAGTGTAGGCACTTGTTAAGCCGCATCAGGTATATTTAATGTTGTTGTTTTTATTCTAAAGAATCCAACAGTTCGTCCATTTTATTTGTATTGCATGGCGATAATCTCCACACAAAAATAAAATGATAAAGACCTTCATGATTATTTTTTTTTATTCCATCCTATTATTTATACTTTTGGTTTGGGTGTAATAAAGAGATTACATAACACTTTACGTGTACACTTTAACATTAAACAATTCCTGGCTTTTAATAAATAGCTCGCGCAAACCATATTTGCTGCAAACAAGTCTCACCATTTTCTGGTGAGACCCTGTATTGGTCTCATTATAATCTGGTAACACTCTGTTTCTGTTGACATACTGCTCTGGTTTTGAATCCTTGTCTTGCGACACCCGGTTCTGGTGGGTGCCATGCGGAGGTGGCATTCTGTTCTTGTATTTTACTTAGTTTTTTATAAAGCAGATCTGAGCGGGTTCAATCAAATATAATTCTCCATTTGGTTTCACCCGCCTTTGATGGTGTCACCAGCAGCAATCCGCACCATTGCAGCCCCTAGAGACGCCCCTTTTGAAATGCATGTTGGATGAAATTCCCGGAAAGTAGTTAGTTGAGCGTCGTGATTGTACTGTAAATTATTGGAAATTGTTTGTCATGGATTTTTGATTGCATCCTTAATTGGTAACTAACATTATTTGTAAAAAGTTCATCGTTTTCAAATAACGCAAGTATTTAAAAGACATGTGATAATTATTTGTCCAAGTATCTTTGTTAATTAATATGTTCTTTTTTTAACAGAGTAAATAATTGTAGAGAAGCACCATATGATGAGTACAAATCTAAACCTCAGCCAAAATCACGAAATGTATGTGGCCTTCATGTTGCTCATTATTTATTTTAAACAAATATTGATCGCCTTATTTCTTAGGTTTTTTATTTGACTTGGTTTGGGTTTTTATAATGGCAATTAAATATGCTAATATATTTTTTTTTTATTTTTTTTTTTTAAATGAAGGGATATTTTTGTATCAAAAAGTAAGTAAACCACATTATACCACCATTCATCCCAAATATACCACATTATACTACCATTCATTTCCAAGTAAACCAAACTATACCACCATGTATCCCAAAATAAACTACATCATAAACACCATTTATCCAAAATAAATGACGTTATACCACCATTTATCCCAAGTAAACAACGTCATACAACAATTCTTCCCAAGTAAAACATATTATACCACAATTTATCCCGACTTCTTGCAAAAGAGAAATACAACGATGAAAAAAGTGTCCAGAAAATCTTTGAGGCCCGATGACATTAAGAGGTGTGTCGAAAAAAATGCTGTTGCCATGTCAGATGAGGCAATTGAAGAAGATTACAACTCGCTTGATGTATGCGTTGATGATCTATTGAATCTGCACGAGTTCGGCCAAGATCATCGAAACGAAACTGGAATACTGCTCAACCAACACCGAATTACTGGTATTTGTTTCATATCGTTTAGTTCAATTTGTCATGCAGTTCCGCGTTTATAAAGCATCTATTTCACAATTGATGGAAATACAAAAGCATGAAACATGAAATTAAAAAGAACACATTATATTAAACCACCAAGAAATATTATGAGGTAATAAAACATATATTGAAGAAATATTTTTAAAATATCTTTGAATAAATGAGTTTATACTAACACAAATATGTATATTTTATATATAAATATATATATATATATATATATTACACATATTACTAACAATAAACTCTTAACAATTAATATTTAATTGTTTAAGAACGATTTAAATGGCGTAATGTTGCGTTTTCTGAAAAATTTTATCTGCATTATTTCCACACACAAAAATGCAATGGTATTGCAATAATTTAATGGAGCAAGTTGTTCATCCCTATCGATAAATGGCTAGCTCATCGTTGATATCAATTGGACAACGATATTGCTAGTTTCATCTCTGAGAATTTCCACAGAAAAACTTGTTGGTCTGCTTGAGACTTCCTACAGTTTCACCGATGAAAATCCAGGTGCTAAAAGAATATTTCTCGACACTTTGAAGGTGTGCCTGAAATTCACCGAATCGAGTCCTGCATTTACAGTGGTGAGAAGACTGACATTGCCCATTTAAACATGTTACATGTATACACTGATATACATTCTTAGTTGAGAATTCTTAACGATTCTGTTACATCGACTGGCTTGTATTTTTTAACGAGCAAAATTAAACTGAATAAGGCTTAAACTTTAAGATTTTTACCAAATTCAAATTTCCCGTTATATTTTAAAGTAAAGTTCGCCTAAATAAGTAAAAGTGACATTTTGACATTTATCAAAAAATTGTAAATTGAATTATTTGAAAATGGCTTTCAAGTCAAATCTTAAGATTAAACAGGGTCTCCTTCCCAACCCTATAACCTCATTTTTTCTTCGATGTAGGAGCTTGCAAGTCATGGAACTGTGAAATTTCTATCAAAATCTCTGAATTTCTCTTCAATTTCTTCAGAACTCGTAAGCAAGATGGATATTTCTCTAATGTTATGAATTTTAAAACAAAAGAGCTTATTTATATTTACTGTAATTGTTTATTTTTTTATTTTTTTTTGTTTTTTTTTACTCTTTAAACTTTTTTTTTTCTTCATAATTCAATATTAACTTAGGCAAGCAGAACAAAGGGTGCAACAATCGAAAATAAAAGATTCTAAATTATAAAATCGTGCAATTTTCATATTACTATGAATTAAATTATCTTTACCTTTTCATACTATTCTTATCCCTGAATAATGATAATCTGAAGCAGGCTTGGAAACAAATTGAATAAATATGAATATATTTTAATTAAAAAAATTTAAATTTTAGTTGGTACTTTAGTGACGCCTTTTGTACACTGTCCTAAAGTAACGTGTCTTCTGATCAGCTTCAGTAGTATTTTCTGAACTTAAAACTTAGAAACACAGGGTATATTTGTTAGAATATATCATATATTATAATCCTCTGTAGGATAGTCCAGACATCTTAACAAGTTCCATCTGCATACTTCATAACATTGCAGTGTCGTGCGGTGAAGATGAGGCTTTATTTGCGAAAGCACGAACACCTCAGGTTAGCAATACTTTCCCGTAAGACCTATTGCTTAAGTTACAAATGAACTATTTGAACTGAGAACTAGTGAATTTGTTGGTATTGTACAAAAGACGTACGTTGAGTGCTATATTCGTCTAATCTTCTTTAAGGCACTGAAAAAATTCGCTTCCCATGAAGTCGATGACGTAAAAGTAGCATCATTGCTGACCCTGGGTTACATATGCAGTGATTATGAAATTCAACGTCTTAAAATACAAACAGGTAATATTTTCATTCTTAGGTTTCTTTTTTTAAATGTAGTGCATTTAGTAAATTGTTCATCAGAAAATTTCTGTAAAACAACTTTGTATACATTGATGTCGTTATAGTTTGAGGTTCCAGACTTAATCTAATGAAACCAAAATGCTAGTCATGCAAGCTTTCTTTCTATATGCAAATAAAACTTGCGGGTATCGATTGTAAAAATTTTTGCAATGACCTTGCGCAATGTTATTTGTATACCTCCATGTCTGCCAGGCTATTTATATACATTGGTGGCTGTAACACTCAAGATATACGTGCCTGCCTCACGTTCTGTTAACGAAAAGCTTATTGGGCATTCGCAGTGAGTGATAATGCAGTACGTGGCAAAAAAAAAGATGCCTAATGAAATAATACTGAGAATACTTTTTTGGACATGCTATCAATTATTGCTTTCTGTTCCATTATTAAAAGATACATTTATATATATAAATATATAATATATATATATATATATATATATATATATATATATATATATATATATAATATATATATATATATATATATATATATATATATATATATATATAGTGTGATTTTATCTTTACAGCTCTTATGAAATGAAGCGTTTCATTGTCTACATTTTTAAAATCATGTTCGTTTAGTTCTCCAACGTCCCCATTGTTTGTCTTGTATCAACCACAGAAGACATTGTGACGATCTGTGTTGAGTGGCTTAAGGAAAGTTTGGACCATAAAAGAACACGACGTGAGGCGTGCTTACAACCCTGGGCGATCATTTCAGGACTGACAAGGTTGGCGGTCAATGACCAAATGTCTCAAGAGGTTGGTCAAGTCTTTCTTTGCCAGCTCCTCATTAAATAGAGGTTGTCAAACAAAAGAGTATAGGCATTTTTCACCAAAAAAATATTGAAAACGACAACCGAATTTGTTATTTTGTCATTAAAATCAAGACTTTAAAAATATTTAAAAGAAATTTCATATGATTTTGAATATGTATTTCCATCTTCCAGCTCAACAGAAGAGAACTAATCAACTGTGTCTCTCGTTGTATGAGTACTACATTGGACTCTAGAGAACGCGCAGCTTGCATGAAGTTTTTAAAAGCCACAAATGCCAAAGTGTGTGAAAAAAGTGGTAGAGAGACGATAAAGAAACAGAAATCTGGTAGGTTTTATTTCAATAAACTTGTACTCGTCAAGTTATAACATTTTCCCTGATACTTTTATTTTAAGTTAAGAAGAGATCATTTTTTATATAATACATAAACAGTTTTATATCATTATTGGAAAGATTCATTATTTTCCTTAGAAAGTCTTTTCCTCTAAACATTTAACAATTTTATAAATTTAAAAAATAAAAAAAAATTCTATTTTATTTCATTATCTAAACTATTGTATACATTTTACATATTCTTGTATAGTTGCAGATTAATTGGCTAAAACATATTTAAATGTATATTTCTGCGAGGTAACCATTGTTTAATACGAAGGAGGTGAATTATTATTTTTTGTTCTCAAAATATTTCTGTACAGAACCAAAGCCTGGTAATCGGTCAACTCAAATGAGTTGCAATCCTGTCCAGACCAAAATTAGGACGACCAAAAATGATGTAAGTATAAGCGTCGGTTTGGAAGGGGGTTTGCATGATTTTAAACATTAAACCCCTTTTTTCATACCACAAAGTAGCCTTTTATTGTTCCTCAGGTGTGAATATATGTGCTACTTATAACTCTAATGTTAGTTTAAATAGCACACAAAAAAGTGGGTCTATCTGTCTTAGACCTCGTCTAATCTAATTTAGTGACCTTACACATTCAATTTGATTTTCTGCGTTGTTTAATTTTCGATAATGATAATAATAATAATAAAGTTTATTTGAAAAAACACGCTTCATCCCCAAAAGCTCGAAGCGCGGTACAAAGTCAATCATATAATAAAGAGAAATAAAAACAATCTAAAATTTACCACATTTAAAAAACATACGCCACAATATAAAACTACATACGAGCATACCCAGTCAAAGTCTTTCATCCCGTTTCAACCATAAACAACACAGGCAAATAAATATTAGCTGAAAAAAGGTGGTAGATAGCATCACCCAACAAGTTGTTTGCGAATTAGATGTGCTTTTAAATCGGTTTTAAAGGACTCCAGTATATGGCTGCTTTTGAGAAAGCGACTGGAAGGGCGTTCCAAATTGTTGGGGCGGCAAATGCAAAAGTGCGCTTTCCGTAAGTCTCAAGGCGAGCACACGGTATCGATATTTTGCCACTATCGGATGAGCGGAGCTGTCTAGTGGGTACATAAAGTGTCATGAGTGCTTTGAGATATGACGGCGCCAGGTCATGTAAGCAGCGGTAGCACAAAGTTGCGATTTTGTACTCTATGCGAGCGTGGACCGGCAGCCAGTGCAGCTCTCTCAGAAATGTTTTGCATGGTCGAATTTGCCTTTGCGAAGAACAATGCGAGCCGAATTATTCTGTGCTCTTTGAATTTTATCCAGGAGAGTAGCTGGGAGACCCACCATGAGAGCAATGCAGTAATACATGCGTGATAACACAAATGCAGACATCAGCCTCCTTGATGCATTAACGTTAAGAAAGGTCTGATATGATTAACCGTGCGCAGCTCTAGAAAAATCGCCTTTCAAAGCATGTTAATGTGGTTTTCCATAGTTAGTATTCTGTCTAAATAGACACCCAGGTCTCGTACTGTTTGAGCAAACTCAATCTGCATACCTGAGAGAATAAGTGATGATGTGTTTTTTACAGATTTTTGTTTATGAGCAGTGGCAATGAGGATCAGCTCAGTCTTGTCAAAATTCAATTTGAGCTTGTTTATGGTCATACATATCGATCTTTTCAATATGTTGGATACGCGAAACTCCTGCGGCGTCTCATAGATATTTTCTTTCGATGCCGCATATGCCATTTTATAGCTCAGAAAGAGTGGATGTACTGGACTATTTTATCCGTAACTTTTTCTAATAGACATATGTCGGTGAAAATCTGATCAGTCATTGATCTTTTTCGTCTATTTCTTGATTGGTGGTCACCTAGTATTTGCTCAGTGTAAGACAGTGTGGGTTTTACTGTTTTTTGCTTGCCTTCTGTAAGGTTCATTCTTTTACATGGCCTTGTTGTTAGTCCTTCGCAGGTTTTTTTTTTGTTTTGTTTCTGGGGGGGGGGGGGCTGCAAAGTCCCCCCAGCCCCGGAGCAAAAAGAGGGCCAACAATAAATCACCCGGAACTTCTGGCACTGCCCCCCCCCAAAAAAAAAAAATCTGAAGTGCCCCCCAAACCATGTCAGGGTTGGGCTGCCCCCTTACATCTCTGTAGGCAGCCATCTTTTTTTTTTTTGTCTAAGGTTCCCTAGCCTTTCTTGATCCCTCCATTTCCTACAAGGCAGTAGATTCTTAATTTGGTCCGCTTAGGGTATTCTATTTCCCTATTACCCGCCATTTCTAATGGGCTTTCCATTATCGGACCTGCGAAGGTGCTCGATGAAAGATCAGTATCTCGACAAAGAAGACACAGTCGTTGAATTTTTTTTTACTCTATACTTTGCTAAATTTTCACATTTGGCTTTTTTTATTTAAACCAACTGTTTACAAAAAATAGCCATTCACATTACGTTTATAACTTATTTTAATTTAAAATAAAATTTATACATTTCAGATTGTTCCTAGAAATGAAATAAACAAAGATAGGAAAATGCCTGTTACAAGGGAATTGGTAATACTTTAAACCTTAATATGTTGTCTTTGCATTTTTTCTTTGAGGTTTAAGCTAGAGGATGAGATTGGAAAATAAGGGGGATAATTAGGTCGAAGATGAGATAAATGATGAGGTCGAGGAGGATGAGGTGAAAGAAGAGTTGCAGATGAAGTGAACAATTTAGATTGGAGATATCACGGATGCGACTGTAAAGATGTGGTCGATATAAGGTTGGAGATGGGAAGAATGATTAGGTCTAGATAAGATAAATGATGAGATCTGAGATGCTATGCATGATGAGGTGGAAGATGGGATGAATAATGTGGTCGGAAATTGGATGTATAATTTTATATCGAAGATGATATCAACGATGAGTTCTTAGATGGGATGAATGATGAGGTCGAAGATGGTATCAACGATGAGGTCTTAGATGGAATGAATGATGAGGTCGAAGATGGTATCAACGATGAAGTCGGAGATGGGATGAATAATGAGCCCGAAGATTGGAAAAATGATGAGTTCCCAGATGAGTTGGATGATGAGGTCAGAGATGGGATTAATGATGAGATCAAAGATGTGATGAATGTTTAGCTGAGAAATAGGCCCTGGATAAAATTACCATACATTTAATGAATATAATTTAATAACCTTTTTTATTCTTCAGACGGAAGTGCCAGATTTTGACCAAATAAGAGAGGTTGACTTACTTTTAATAGGTAAGACTGGCAACGGTAAGAGCTCTGTCGGAAATACAATAATTGGAAGAAATGCATTCAATAGTTGTTCCAGCAGTACATCTGTTACTAGAGATGTAACATTTGATACGGTCAAGTTTGAAGACCGTTTCATCAAAGTTGTAGACGGACCTGGGGTAGCTGACACTGACGGAATCCAAGATCTTGAAAAGGTTACAAAGGTCATCGTCAGTAAAATGCAGCATGCGGTCACTTTGAGTCCAGCTGGCTACCATGCATTTCTCCTCGTTGTGAAATTTGGAAACAGATTTACAGCGGAAGATCACGCATGCATAAACATACTCAAACATATACTTGGAGAGGACTGTGTCAGAAACTATTGTATTTTGTTGATGACATGTGGTGACAACTTTAAGGAAGAGAACGAAATTTTGCCGTTTAAAGAATGGTGCCAACAACAGAGTGGAGATTTTAAAAAACTTTTGAATGAATGCAATAATAAAGTGGTTTTATTTGACAACAGGAAGAAAGATGAAAGCGTAAGGCACGAACAAATCAAAGAGTTGCTCAGAGTGGTCGACACTATGCAGTTTGCTGGCAAACGCTACACCAATGACATTTTTCAAAGCGCCTTAACCGAACGCAAGAAGCTACTCGTAGAGTCAAAAGAACCGATGATCACTGAAGACACGGTGCGACAAGTCAGTTTTATCATACAAGAGCTTGAAGAGGTACATAAAGCTGAAGAAGAATCTCAAAAGGAAAAGCTTGTTGCCTTGAGTGAACTGGCCCAGCATCTGCACCGCCATGTGCTCAAGCTTGACAAGGGAACCGGAGTTCTTAAGCTTAGCATAGAAACAGCGGAAAATCTGGTGAAAACGATTGCAGACAGAATATACAATTTGGATAAAATACTGACAGAGAGGCAAGAACTCTTTCAAAAACAGGAAGAACTTGAAACAAAGTACAAAACAGAAATACACTTACAGGAAGAGGAGTTGGAGAGACTGAGGTTGGAGAAAAGGCGACTTGAAGAAACATATTTAGAGAGAGATGAACATCTGAAAAGGGAAAATGAAAAATGGAGCAGAGAGATTGAAGAGCGAGAAAAGACTGGGAGGCAAAAACTTCAAAATAAACGTAATGAACTAAATGAAACTTTTCATTCTAAAATGGAGAAAATACAGATTCAACTCAATGATCCAAGTGTTGAGGCATCAACTCGAAAGACACTTGAACAAGAGAGAGAAAAACTGAAAAGTCACTTTAAGACTGAAATATTAAAAATTGAAGCACAGGAAAAGGAACTGGCACAAATGATACATGCTGAAAGAAAAAGGGCTCGAGATGAAATTGAGACAGAGAGAAATACCTGGAAGAGTGAAGTACAACATGCACAATATATGATAGATAAAAATATAACAGACATGCAACAAAGAGAGAAGGAGCTGAAAAAAGAATTCGAAGCGGAAAAGGAAGAAATGGGAACTATGTTTATGGAAGCCACAAAACATATTGTTGGTCTAAATGATTTGAAGCACAATAAGGAAAAGGCTTTACTGCTGACCTTGTATGAAAAAATGAAGCAGTCGTACCAAGACTCGGCTAAGGAAGCTGCAAAGAAAGAGAAATCTTCATGTGTGATTTCATAGCGTACAACTTTTGCGCAATTGTATTTCATTGTTTTAAACGTTTTTTTTAGTTTCTAACTTCTTCAATTCTGCAAATATTTGTTCGTTTCATTTTGTTCTTTCACACTATACATCTTAATCCTTATACATATTATCCTTTTAATTTAAAATGCAAAATTTAAAAAAATCCCCGTAATCACATTCATATCATGTCTCGAGGCTACTGTAGGTTGTAGAGTTTCAACAGAGAAATAGATGATTTATCGCATTGTATTTAACGTTTTTTTTCTCCAAAATTGGATTTTATGCTTACAACTTATTTCTTTTCTTTAAGACTCAATACACGTAAAGATAACCTGACATATTTAAAGTTTACCTTATACTTGCTTATCATTTATAATTTTATATTAATCTATATATTTTTAAGGACCTACTAAAAAGCGTGTTTAACATGTTAAACAATACGCAAAGCTTTACATTTTTTAAATACTAAAAAAGGCACAAAGTGTCAAGATAATAACATGTTTTTTTAACATGTTATTTTTGAAGTGTCAATGGCATAGGTAATACTGGCTTAATAAATTTTGATATAATGTAAACAATTTTAAAATATATCTTCTGCTTTTTTCAGGGAGCATACGCTAAAAATATATATATACATATTTTAAAAAAAAAAGAAATTCATTCACAACACGATAAAGAGCACGCATTTACTTAAATACGAATAGCGAAGCTATATTGAACTTCAAAGATGTTCATAGACTGACAGATCAAGGAAATGCCATTCCTAATTGTTACTGCTTTCATTATAATGTCCTATACTCTTTTATTACATAACAGTTCATTTGTAATTTCGCTCTTCTATTATCGCATCTTGTTTTATCTGTTACAGGTTAAGCCATGATGTTTTCTTGTTTTGTTTTTGTTTTTTTGTTTTTGTTTTTTGTGTTCATCTATAAAATCCATTGTTTAAAAAAAATTGCAAACACGTTTAAAGGACAAAAATTCGTTTTGATTGATCACATGAAACAGGACCATGAAAACTAATGATATCTCTGACGGCCTATAGCACTACTCTGTGCCGTGATTTAGCGGAACGCCTGAATTGAGGTGATCTTTAACTAAAGAATACGTCTATACGCACATGTAACTAGACATAAATTATCATTATGGCACCTTCTGAAGACGGCCCCGCGTCGGGTGACCCCTTCACACCCAACCTCCATCCTTTCCAAGAATGTAAGTCAACAGTCATAAACTGAACGATAAAATAAAATGTAGATCTAGTACGGTCGACGAATTACCAATTCAAGTATAAATGCTTTGTAGTGTTTATTCATGGTGGAAAAAAAACGTGGATTTTGCAAGCTCATCAAGTCGATCAATTCAAATTTAAATTGAAGCCATGCCACAAACTATCTTGGTTATTGTATTATTTTAATACTAAGTTGTTTTTATTTTAATCCCAAATGCATGTAGCTTTTATCTCTACATGTTTTATTTAAACTTAGATTGATGTGGGTTTTCCTAAACACTTATTTTTTAAATCTCAGATTCATGTAGTTATTACTATAGATGTTGTTTTTTTTTAATCTTGGGTTCATGTAGTTTCTTATACATGCTTTTTTCTTCCATACAAAAGGACAGGTTTTGTAAAGACACAATACTTTAAAAAAAATATTGTGTCACCTATCAAAATTAATGCTTATAAAATATGTGGTTTTTTTAGTTCTGACTTGTTCTCATATAATGCTTACTAATGTGTCATGTGTACATACATATGTATATATATATATATATATATATATATATATATATATATATATATATATATATATATATATATATAAAAAAGTAATATAAATACACTAAATATATTTTTAAAAATAACACAATAAAATAAAAATATAATATATATATTTTTATATATATATAATATGTGTTTTTTTTTGTTTTTTTTTGTTTTCTTATATTTTTTACAAATGTGTTATGTGTATATATATATATATATATATATATATATATATATATATATATATATATATATATATATATATATAATTATAATTATAAAGGAGTAATTCAAATACAATTAATATTTTTATTAAAATGACACAATAAAATAAAAATATTAATTATATTTTTTTAAATTTATGTTTAACTGTTAAAAATGCCTGGTAAAATGTAAGCCCTTTTAAATGATTATTTTTGTCTTGGAATAGAATTGTGAATATAAAGGTAAACGAAATAAAAGATCACTTAAAGATGACATTTGAAAATGATATAATTCGCCCGTAGAAATGTGTATTTTCAGTCGAAGTAGGAAATATAAACATTTAGAATACAATTTTTCTAAATTTTTAACAGCAGCAAGGTATTAGGTAAAAAGTTATAACTATACAGAAATTAGAAAATGAATTTGAAAGTTCTAGTACCTCGTGTCATACTTTGCTAAACAATCTTTAGACATTTAAAAGTATGGATTTGAAATTATACGACCAAAATACAGCTTTTAGCATGTGTATATTATTGTATCGTCAACTAAGTGTATGTTTTACAGTAACTACAGCCTTTAAATAACTTTATATAAATATAACAGCTTAACTATAGTTAACAGCAAACGGAGATATACAAAGAATATTATTACATTGCATGTGCAGAAGATATGTTTAAAGAGTTGAAATGACTTGTGACATTTTTCCTGCACCTATCCATCCCTTTGGCGCTACAACCCATGCAGGGCTTTGGCTTGCCTCATCACTTCTTTCCACTCAGACCATCCATCCATCCATATGGCGCTACATCCCATATAGGGAGGGCTTTGGCCTACCTCACCAGTTTTTCCTCTCAGACCATCCATATCCACATGGCGCGATAGCCCATGTAGGGATTTGGCCTGCCTCACCACTTCCTTCCACTCAGACTATCCATCCACCCCTATGGCCCTACAGCCCATGTAGGGCTTTGGTCTGCCTCACCACTTCCTTCCACTCAGACCATCCATCCACCCCTATGGCCCTACAGCCCATGTAGGGCTTTGGTCTGCCTCACCACTTCCTTCCACTCAGACCATCCATCCACCCCTATGGCCCTACAGCCCATGTAGGGCTTTGGTCTGCCTCACCACTTCCTTCCACTCAGACCATCCATCCACCCCTATGGCCCTACAGCCCATGTAGGGCTTTGGTCTGCCTCACCACTTCCTTCCACTCAGACGACATCGTTATACGCACATAAATTAAGTTAATATAAACCCATTGATTTATTGTGTTTTCCTGTATGGATGTGCTCTCTTGCATGAGTAATTATACGTGATAACTATTCAACTTGATTCTTGGGGGTGGCTGACTATTGTTATCAGTTGTCTTCAAAGTCTTTGTAACACTGTGACTTAAATTCATGGAAAATAAAGACTCGGCAGTAAGTTTCCAATACATATGCCATTTATTTCAGCTACTTAATCGAGTATTTCTCTTAAACCTATTTATTATATGTTTACCCTACTATATTTCCTATGAAATAAGGCTAAAACTCTAGACACTAATGAGGTATTTACAGCTGGGGATTTGTTAAAATGTTTCTTTGACTCCGTGAGTGGCTTTAAAATTTTTTTTCAAGATGGTGTCGTTTACATCTTCTGATTGGAAAATTGCGTAATTGATATTAAATTGATCATAAAAAATATTGAATGTAAAGTTGGGTTCATAAAACAAATATCACTGAGCATCCAGGCTCCAGCCATATATTGGACACAAGTGGTGCCGGAAAAATTGACTTTGTAAAATTACGACCTTGGTTTTCCTTGTTACCTCCAACCCCAAAATAGGAGAAAGCTTTGGCCAAAGACATTTACGAACTATTACAATATAAGATGTTCAGCTTAGAATAAAATGGTAGATGTCGAAAATTCACTGAGCCATGGACACAAACAGACATTTAAACTCTTTCTTGTCATTTAAAATTTCCCATCGTTAGTTATATAGGACACGTGTATTTCCTTGAAAATTATCTGGAGGGTTATGGCAGGACATCATGGTGCACTTAAGTTGTTCTTTTTTTTAAACCAAGCATTTCAACGTGTCAACTCCATTGACATGTTATACTCTTGGTTACGCATGGATGGTAGTTATTCTTTTTAATGACCTTGCAAATGTAAAAGATATATATATATATAGTGTTCCATTTGGAGTCTGATATTTGATGTTCATATTCTGAAATTAGAGTTTAATTTAAACGTTGTATAACTATTCAGTAAAATGATGTGCCTTGAGATACACAAATTAAAAAGGTTCAGTTAAAATATTGCTTTTTTGTTTAAATAAATATTTTTTTTTTTTTAATCCAGAAACGCAATTTTAAGAATTTTGTTTTCAAATTACAGACATTTGTCTGTCTTTTTTTAGTTTCGTATATTTTGAAAACAGTTTGACAAGAATGATTTAAATACTAAAATTCAATATCTTTTAAGTTCAAAATTCTTGAAAACATAACGTTTGCCATAACCATTTTAAGGCATAATAAATCATTTTTATACTTTAAATTTAGTGGATTGTGTCATTATCAATAGTAAATAAGCTTTAGCTATGTTAATAATTGTAATTATCTTTTTATTTAATTCAGATATTGTCTAGGTTATTGAATTTAAAATCCTAGAGACAACTATATTTTAAATTTTCACCGTGAGCCTTCTTATGTGCCTTGGTGTTATCTTAAATAAGTTAATAATTTTTTTTTGTTAAAAGTACACATTAAGATGAAGCTATAGCACCACAATGTTATTCGTTGTTTTTTCCCACTGTAAGCGTCCATGGAAATTCCATTTGCCATTTCTCCAGGAAATCATCAAAGGATTTCCTCAGAAAACAACTGTGTTTTACATAAATCTCATGTGAAAAAGTGTAACTTTATTTTGTCACCTGACACTTATGTATTACACCAAGCAGTTTTCCCGGGACATGTTGTTAGAGTAATTTGTTTTTTCTCCTTTCTGCCTTCAGGCTTAACTCCCCGTTCAGCATCCACTCAGGCGTGGCGACGTTCTCCATAGGTTAGCTCTGTATAAGAATGTAAAACTCCTATAACTAGCGTTGTTAAATAATTTATTGAAATCTTGATACATTTTACCAATGTATTTTTTTAAAGCAATTTTTAAAAATTTAGTTTAAAACAACTATCACATGTTTAGAACTTTTTAATCATTGTTATTAATTTTATTTTTAAAATTGTAATAATCGTTTTATCAATTGTACTATTCTCAACAATCGGCGGTGAACTCGTAACAAAACCATTTTATAGACATGGCAACGTTGCCGTCGCAAATTTAGAAAATATTTTTAGTATCTTGATTTTTTTAAATTTTTGTTTTAAGTAATTAGTGGTAAACTAGCCTTAACATTACAACAGACACATAGCGGTTTAGCTGTCAGACATTAAAATCTTGTTGCACGGAATTATGTAATGTCTTTATCAACTCTAAGCACATATTAATTTGATATCAATTCAAATGTTGATTGATGAAAAATCTTAGGAACTAATAAATCATTTAATTATTGACTATGATCCAATAAAATTGCAGATGCGTTTGAGAGAAAAGGCACAACGATGGCTGAACATTATTAAAATAACCTGGCTTGTACCTTTTGTTGTAATGACAAGAACACAGTACGCAATTTATACATAGGATATTTGCGAGCAGTGATCGTTCATAATAGAGCTCTGGGCTATATTCAATGTGCAGCAAGAACTCTTTTTAAAATTACACAGGCATTAAATTCATTTCATCTCGGTACGTCTAAGATCTACTCGAAAAAACCTAGTGACATTCAGAGTGCGACAAAAGTATCAGTGTTGAAAAGAAAAGTTTAACAATAGTGATATCCCTTTTTTGTCAGCTGTAAATTAATTTATCATGAAAGAAACTAACATGAACACTTTACATGTAATCCTTTACGACGATGTGTGCACATTCAAAATTTTCATGGTGTGCACCGTCTCGCTGTAGACAGTGTTGATATTGCTATCAAAGATTTTCAAACACATCACTGAACAATGCCTGCTGTCGACGTCTTCAAAAGAAGTCCATTTATCCCCGTAATGCGTTCAAAAATATTGGTGAATCTTCACAGTGGAACACACTTTCCTTTAAAAATTCCCACAAGTTGGCATCCGGCAGCGTGAATCAGGGGAGTGAGACTCACATATGTAGTCAGTACCACATGAAATGATTCAATCTTGAAAGTTATTTGTTAGCATGACAATATATTCTCGAGCGGTATGGCTGGTTGTCCCGTCCTGTTGGTACCACTGTCTATTCATGTGAAGGTTCTTTTGGATGACAGAAGCTTCTCAAATTCCGAAAAAATGGTTCGATCACACTGCCACTGTAGCATTTTTGGGTGATCATAAGAGCTTTGCCCTTTTCAGTCTCTAAGAAATAAGGGCCTTGTTTACCGTGTGCTGAAACGTGTGCCTTCCGTTGAGACAGTTACTGGCTGACCTGTCTTAACATTCCTTTGAGACATTTACTGGCCAACCAGTCTTATCCTTCCGTTGAGACAGTTACTGGCCGACCATTCAGAACAACGAAAGTTCTAAATTGCATAATCGTGTTACTTGGTACCGTCTAGTTAAATTTCTTTTGGAATTAAGAAAAGGTTTCCTCTGTAGAGAGTGACGAGCTGTAGATATTAGTGTCCTGTGCTAATCCACCCTTCGAAGCCAGACGCTCACCTGTAGAACATCCTAGTCTCTTACTTCTTCACGCAGACCAATGCAACCCACATCAACACAGTGTTATGTAGGACGTGTTTGTCATATAGTTGCAAAACTCTCGATGCCACGTTTTTGCCTTGAGACTTACGAGGGGCGCACTTTCGCATTTGCTGGCCCAACAATTTGGAACACTCTTCCTATCGCTATCAAATTGCCAGACACTGGAGTCTTTCAAAACTGATTTGAAGACTTATCTGTTTCGCAAACACCTGCTGCGATGTTGTTGTCTATCTAGCTATTGTCTTTTAGATGTTTATTGGCCTGTGTTGTTTATGGTTGCAAGGTATGAAAGACTTAGAATGGGTATTCTTGTATGTAGTTTTGTAATGTTGAATTTTGCACTTCAATGTAGAATGTACCGCGCTTCGAGCCTTTTGGTGATAAAGCGAGATTTTTAAATAATCGTTATTATTATTGTTATTATACCTCGTCAAAACCTGACGGATCAATGTACACCAACAATTCAACTCGTAAACTAATGAACGTTCTACTTCAACGATATATCCAGCCGAATCCTCCGAAAAAAATAACAAGCCAAGCCGTGAATATCACACAAAGGCCAACTTTGCATTCTATCAACAACTATCGTTTCCCCTTACCCAAATACGTCACAACACTCTCACACAATGGATACAGCTACACATAAAATCACTAAACGAAACATCTTTTCCCATCCAATCATGGCAACAGTGATCTACACATAACAACAGTGAGTCTCATACCCAGAAAGAGAGACCCATTGTCAAAATATGACCTACTTAACTTCATTGACATCCCTGGGAGCTCATCTCAGCTGAGGGCTTGGGGGTAGAGGAAAATATGCTCTGTTGACAATTTCATATAAGCTTTCAAGATGCGGCAGTATAAGATCTGTTACATTTGGCGCTAACTGCACATACTAATATTGAGCCTTTAAACCGAAAAAGAGAGACGGAAGCTATCGAGGTGGTTGAAAAGTACAGAATGCTAGACGGCGTGCAACTTTCAAGTAGACGAACAGTTTACAGATGCATGTGGACAAAACCATGTAATAAAACATAAATCAGTACTAGAGCATGAGTCTAATTTTGAAGATAAACACCACTTACAAACAGACAGAGAAGATTTACAAATCGTATATAAGACACATCTCTGAATAAAGATTTACAAAACAAAAAATTGACCGGGAACTGGATGATGATGATAATAAGGATAATGATTAGCAATATTAAAGATGAAATAACTATTTTATTCATTTGTGGATCCTAGTTTTTTTTGTTTTTTTTTTGTTTTTTTAATTTTTTTTTTTTTTTTTTTTTTTTTTTTAAATTTTTTTTTTTTTTTTTGAGTATCGGCACAACAGCCGACTCAAGGTTTTCACATGGTTCCGTCCTCAAAATTTAAACAAGTATTATGAGCATTAGTGCATATTTCTTAAATATTAAACGGTTAAGTAAAAATAAACAAAGATAACTGAGCGACAATTTGGTAGCAATGTGTAGAAATGTTTTCTTTCCCCGTGCAGCTGTGACTAAGTAACTGATGTAAAGATGCAGTTTTCTATATTTTAAATATAAAGTTACCAGGTTTTTATGAAGTTCTTTTTTAATATTTTTTTTTTTATTTTCAATATTTCAGGTTAGAGCACTCCAACCGAAACTGCTTGTAACGCATGGCCAAACTCTAAGCACGCTGAAAAAGAAAATAAAGAAAGAGGGCCCGCTCTCAAATATAATACATCATAACAGACAGGAAGCAGGGCTGATATAGAGAACAACACGGTGCTTAATGACACGTTCATGGATTTTGTTTCCCCAGGAAATAAGATGTCATTGAAGATTTTTTTTTTTTTTTTAAAAAAAAAGAAAATAAAAAATTTTTTTTTTTTTTTTTTTTTTGAAAAGAAACTTGCACAACTGGATTGTGGGACGCTTTTCACGAATTACCAGAGTTCAAATAAATCCACACAGAGTTCGTCAACGTAGGTAAGTTTGACGTCTAAATCCGCATTAAAAAAAATAACGTACAATAATCATAATAAGTTTAATTGATTAAATTAAAAGAAATTGAAGCAACACTAACACTTCTGTTGTTGCCGGTGTCCTCAGTTAGATTTGATGTTCAATGTAATAAGGATTTTCATATTTTCAAACATGCAGTGCGAATGAAAAAAAATATTATAACTTCATAGCGCTTCGACTTGTGTACAATCTCCCAAGATAAAAACTAATGATGATAAAGCAAATGATTTTTGTGACAATGCATTTCCTTTTTATAAATAAAGTGTTTGCCTTTGTATGTTTCATTTATGATAAGTTCGTTCAGTGGTAGCAGCTATGGAGATCTGATAAACTTGATAAAGTATAATAAAATAAAACTATATTTTTTGTAAATCTTATTTGACAATGCATTTTTGTGAGAAGATTAGTTTCTTTGTAAGTAATTAAATAGTTAACCACACATGATATGAAGATATTTTTCACGCAAACTTTAAGAAAGAGTGATTTTCTGAGGTGGCCGTGCCACTAGTGGGGATTTATTTTATGGCGTAATTTATTTCAGCTTCATATACTCTATAAAGCTTTTATGTTTATTATGTATGAATCAATGTTTTCCTTGGGTATGGGCGGCAAAAATCATTGACCGCCAGGGGCGCGACAAACACTTGCCGCTTTACTATTACACGTCAGGTTGAAATGCATTTTGCTTTGGATAAAATGTGTGTTACATCTTCTCCTATTCTAACTCACTGCTTTTTTTAAAAAATAGTTTGTTTCGTTTAAAATTCAACTTCGTATTTATTTCTTTGTTTCGCAATTGTATGTTTTTTATTGAGTCACTGATTTGCTTTTATTCAGTACCACTATTCTTGAATAAATGAGTTTCTTACATCAGAATGTATGATTATATGTGTAGGTATTTTTATTTTCAATTCGTTAATTTTCTTTTTTTTTTGTGGCCGGGGGGGGGATGTGGTTGTTAATTTGTTTCATGTTAATGCATGGTTTATTTGCAATAACACATTCTTTCCAACAGTTTGATAATATGTGTTTATATTTATTCATCCATTTTGTAGACAATACTTTCCATTAGAAGGGGCTTGACTAACTACGTGAAAGAAGATGAGTTTAAGTTCTTCTCAAGCAGTTTCTGAACCTGTAGATAAACCTATAAGAGTAAGAAAATAGCCATTGTTGTTAATACTATTATTGTTTTAAGTTTTAATTATGCTCTGATTAAATTTGAATTTTGCTTAGGTAAATTATAACATTGCGTTATTTCTTTGCAAATAGGCGTATAATAAAGGGTTACCAGAAATTTGTTTGAAACAAATTTCGTAGACAGAAAATTGATCGACGGAAATTTGATCGAACGGAAATTTGATCGAATTTATTTTTCAGTGCACACGTTAAAAATGTCGTCAAATTTCTTCATGAACGCACTCTACTATATAATGAATTAAAATAACTCGTTCAAAAATAAATTTGACGCACAATTTTGACGTGTGAACTGAAAAAAAAATTGACCAAATTACCGTTTGATCTATTTTTCGTCGATTAATTTTCCGTCGACGAAATTTCTTTCAAGCAAATTTCTAGATACGATAATAGAAAAAACAACTTGCGGTAATTTTAAGGAAATTATTCATATATACAGTTTATATTCTGATAATAAAATTACGTAACTTAAAATCGAATATTGATCATAACGTTTGACCCTTTTGTATTAATGCGTATTATAATAATTATTATTATTAAAGTGGTCTCATATAGCGCCGTACCATAGCCTAGGGCTAGGCTCAGCGCTCCGCACAAAACTTAGCAGTTGCATACAATTATTCATTTAAAAACAGCTTTATAAAATTATTTATTTGGCCCACCCAAGCACGATCTACCCGTGTCTAGCCCTAGACGGTACCAAGCCCCATCGAGCTTTGTTTATTGGTCAGAGTGGGGTGAGAATGAGTCGGTACAATAGAGTTTGAAAAGAAGTGTCTTGACCACAGGTTCGATGACTTTGATGGTCGGTATATTGCGGATTTTTAATGGGAGAGAAATCCATTTTTTGGGGCACAGAAAGAGAAAGATCTTTCATCATATGTTATAGTCCGTGTCCTGGTAACAGATAGAATACGCGTGTCAGTGGAGGAGCTAAGATTTCGAAGGGGTGAATAGACAGAAATAATTACAGTAATAAAGGAAGGGCTGGAACCAGAGAGACAGTTGTGACGGGAATTACAGTAATAACGAGTAGATTTGTAAATTGACTGAAAATACTAAAAGAAGCATAAATTTATGATCTTCATATTTATTCATATATACTTTTCTAAAATGGCATTTTTAAAAAAAAAATATTTACGTATTTATTTCTATTAAAAAATAAGTCATCACAAATGACAAAAATTGACTTGTTATATTTTTATCGATTACATTATTACACAACACTTACATTTTTTTTTAAAAATACACAATTTCTTTACAGGTGTATTCGGAGAGAACGAATACATGGTACCCTGCTCAAGGTTTGCGAGCTCAGGTCCTTGAGAATTCAATTCAAAATATAGCATCGGAAATTGGCAATTTACCGATTCAAGACGAAGACAGCCATGCTCTAAAGAAGCACTTGGATAAACTTTTAGACATACATGATTACAATGCGGCACATCGATCAAAAGTTGCAGAATGGCTGAATGTTTATGGAATTACAGGTAATGGTCGAAGAAGAGCCACGTCAACTTTTTTAATCAAATTTGAAATTATTTTATTAAATGGTATTTTCAACAGAGTTTTTTTTTTTTTTACAAGAGTGGAAATGTTAAACACAGCCAGTTTACCATGCAGATTCGCTACTAAAACACTCAAGAATAATGGTGGAGACAAAATCAAAGCTAATTAGCACATTCTATGTAACAACCCTTACTGACCAGTGTTACGCGTTTCTCTTGAGTAAAACTTTAAATCAAAGAATGTTTCGCCTCTTAGGAGAGATGTCTAAGATGTGTTTCTGGTAAAACAAAAATAGTCCACAGGAAGAATCGGGAGCTAAGACACATGTTTGGTTCTACAAAAGGGAGCACACCTTGAAGCAGATGGGTGACTTTTCCTAACCATACCTCTTCCATGTGGAAGCTGGCTGAACAAGAATATAAAAAGCAAAACAAATTCTAAAGTTATATCATAAACAATCTGTGTCTAATTTATTGATTGGTTGCTGTGTTTAATAACACATCAGTTAATTCACTGCCTTTTTTTTAAGGTTTTTCTTGTTTTTTTTTTTAAACGGTAAATAAAACATGATAAATATGTTAATAATATTAATTAAACTGTTTTGGAAAAATTGCTAACCCTTCTGCAGAAAAATGTGTGGAAATTCTAAAAAAAGCTCAGCAGGATGAGGTAGCCAGTAATTTCCAAACGACGGTTCTTGAATTGTGTCAGAAAAATTCCCAAGTGAGCAGCAGTTTTGCACAGGTAAGACTCTGGCCATGAAGAAATCATTTAAACCTTACCAACAAATCTTTAGACATTAACATTTTTTCAACTCATTTTGCATTTTTTTTTTTTTTCTTTTAGAATAAGAAATAAAAAATACTTTACAGTAACTCAAATATTTGGATCTGCTGTTCATTGCCTCCCTCCCCTGATCCCCATTGTGGTTAATTTCTTTCGGAATCAAAATATGGATGATTTTACATGTTATTTTTTTGTCATAAAGTTTCTCTCAAAGTATGGCATGGTAAGATTTCTTGTAAGCTGTCTCAAAAAATCAGCCGGGAACTTTGAAAAGGTAAATTTGAATTGGTTTTAGGCCATTGTCATTATGTAAAATAAAGAATTAAGAACTAAGTGTTACATTTTCAGAAACGTTTTAAAGGACACAATTAAAATTTCTGTATTGGGTGTTTCATTTATTAAATAAAAACCATTTTTATCAAATAAATCCTTGATCACTTAGATCTGTCCAGAGACTGTCGACGCATACATTTCTATCATCCACAACATCGCCGTCTACAGAAGTGATAAACAAGATGAGGTCATCTTCAGTCTGGCAGCTCAGGTAATCTTTGCTACAATATCATTGTTCAAGGTTAGTGCATCGATATTTCTACACAAGCCGGGTAATTTTTAAAAAAAATCATTTTGCTATTACTTGAGAAATCTGATGTTTTAGAATAGCAAAAGTGAGAACCGAGGAAAGAAAATATTGAAGAAATCATTAAAAAAGTTGATTTTTTTTTAAAAAAGAAAAATATGCTAGTGGTGTGGCTTGACCTCTAGAGCGGATTAAGATTAATTTTCACGCCACTTCAACGGGCCCCCCTCCCCATATAAATTAAAAATAAGTGACTAGCGGAGCGAAATAATCCAAATTACAACCCCCCCAACCTCTTTTTTTTTTACATTGTACGCCACTGCTACTTTGGTCAACGTATAAGTCTATGAACAATTTCACTGGCAGTGAAAGAATACGATGACTATTGTTTACAGCTGACCTATGACTGATGTCAAAATTAACCTTACTCCAGTTCATGCACAGGCAAAAAGATCAACTGACCTGTCCATGAGTTCGCAGATGTCCCCTTTAAAAAAAAATTAAATTCAACCGTTTACAGATGAATAAATATGCAAGTAAACTAAGTAATAATAGCGTTGAGTACATGACCCACGAATCTATATTAAACTTGTCTTGAATGGTTATGTCTGCGCTGTCTTTCAAGAGTCTTGGTCAAACTTTCAGACATCGACAGCAGGCAAAGCATTACTGACTAGAATTCTTGGGCGAACTCATCTTAACAACTGCTGGTTTCTGAATGTTATGTGGGACATTTTTCCCCATGCGCGAACTTTGCTTGACCCCAAAATAGATTCCCAGCAGACGTAGGCTACTTTCATAGATGGGCGTTGCTTAGTTCCTTGATCTGTCGTGTTTATTGCCGACTACCAATTAAGCATGGTTAGTTTGTCTCCTACTATATCGTGGAACATTCTTTTTTTGAAGAGAAACGTAAAAAATGTCAAAGGCGTTTCTGGACGCATCGGTAGACCCACAATATAAATAAGGGGTTTCGGAGATTGACAGAGGGAGAGAGAATTAAATAGATATTTTTAATTTTTCGAGACAAGGGTTATTATTCTTTGTGTACTCATATGTGTTTATTCGCTTTTCGTCATTTTACATTAATAATTGGCACATTGAACTAACTGTGTACCGGTACAAGATCTGCCATACTCTGTATGTTGATGATTTGTAATTATATTTATTTTTTTATAATTATATAAATAAATCTTATTAATTGTAATTAGCAACTGTTTTGGGTGTCTTATTTTTGCTATTGTATTTCTCTATGGTATCGTCCTTTGTTGTGCACTGTTTGAACGAGCCATAACTTAAAACAAGAGATTAATTTCTCACAATGGAAGCCAGTGCGTAACACTGACATTCAAAAAGTATATTGCGACATGATGTGTATTTGTTAAATCTGACAAAAATATATTACTCTATTATAAAAAGGCTGTGTTTTCTTTTTTATTTAAAGCCATCCCACCCACTTTTTCTCTCTTCTAGACGACGGGTGTGATAATTATTATTAAAATTTAATTAATTTTAAAACATTTTATTATTCTTTTGTATCAAAAACGTCTTGCGCCTCTACTTTTTTAAACATGTTCTGTTATGATTTGAGAAATCTCAGTTTCAAAGAAATTTACATTTTTTTAAATTACTATCATCTATGACAGTAAAAACTTCTCCACACAGTAATTCAAATAAATTATTTGTAGTTTTTGTTAATATCAACATGTATTATTAAAATGTGTCAAATCGAAGATATATTTATGTTTCAAAAGGTCCTGGAAAAATACGTGTCAAGCACCAACGAAGTCATCAAAGTGAAGTCAGTCCTTACTCTGAGTCATATCTACAGTGTTGAAGAAATCAAATGTTTTAAAACTAAAATAGGTAACTTTAAACTTCACGCGGTATATATATCATAATATTCACTTAAGATTATACACATTATTATGCTCGTCCTATCTTTTTTTTATATAAAAATGCATGGATTGAAAATTATCAATTAAAGGACGATAGCTCCATAAAAATGTAAGAAATTGCCAAGGGATACTTAAATTAAATATATACACAATCAGTTCATTTCACATTTCAGAGGATGTCATACTTATTAGCATTGAGTGGCTGAAGGAAGCCATTGGCAATAGCCAAAAGTCTGGCTTGGACACGTGGACAATCATATTAGGACTGGCTAAATTAGCAGACAACGATAACGTCTTCGAGCAGGTTTGGTTGATCAATGTGTTTTTTTTTAAATATATACATTACTGAATTTACTCCAGCTGTGATTTCTTTTATTTCTTCATTAAATAAAATATTTTTTTTAATATTGCTTAAAGATCAAGTGTACATATTCAATGGGAAAAATTGTATCTTTTTGCTAATCTTTATATACATGGCATAGCTAAGAAAAACTGAAGTGTTCTCCATTGTGTCTGGAGTTATGAAAAATCCTGGCAGCGCTAATGAACGAACCGCGGCCGAGACATTTCTAAAAAGACAACAGAAGGAATCTGTAAAGTTGGTCTCAGGTAAGTTGAAAAAATGGATAAACAGTGAAAGAACATTTGAATAAACATTGAATGAACAATGGAGCAGAAATAATAAATGGGCAGTGAATAATACATAAACTAATAAATATTCAATATAATATAAATGATTTAGCAACACATGAATGACAGGCTAAGGAACAACCAAACGGAAGTTGTATCTATTTATATGTGAAGGATCTTTTTTGACGATTTTTTTAACATATTGAATTTGACGTATCATGTTATGGGGTCAATGAAATGCCATTGTGAGAACGTCCGATATAAAACTTTAAATATTGTATGCGACCAAAGGGAAATCCTGAAACGTCCGCATCATAAAAGCGTTTGTGCCTGCGTTTATGCTGCAGTCACCACATGTTCTCAGAAGTGAAAAGGATGTGAATGCCACCTGTTGTTGAAAATGGAAACAGAGGAAAAATTGGTCATAGGTGAATATGATAAATGGCCGCCAGAAAAAGTTATGATTTAATAAAACGGCATCAAGAAACATAATTGTGGTGTCAATATTTACGAAATGTTGTCTTTTGGGAGTTTGGGAATCTTGTTGAATACCAAGCAGTAGAAGTTTAAATACTTTTGTAAAAAAAAAAAGGGGGGGGGGGATATTTTTTAAAGTTTCCGTATTAAGTACTCTTTTAACTTCGGTTATTAATAATTACTAGCTTAGTAATGTGGATCTAGAGGTCTACGTAAATATATAATTTTTTACAAGATACCAAGAATGCATGTTGTGCTTTCGCTCTCCATAGTCTTAAAACGGCATTAAGAAAGGGAATACAAAAATTTTTTTAACCCTTTTTCAAAATTCGGTTTAGTAAGATCACCTGCAATTATAATTTTTGTTTAGTTTTAAACTAATATTCAAACATAGAGATTATTGTGGTAAAAGGTAAAAAAATAAATAAATTTAAAAGTAATTTTAATTTTTTTAATTGTCTAACCCTGTTCACATATTTAAATTATATATTTTGATAAGATAAGCGTCACAGATATGAAGATGTTAACCACTAATGGGAGACAATTAATATGCTTAATATTTCTTGTATAATAAGTGTACAGAGTGTTGGGACTTGAGAATAGTTGACCAATCAGAGTTTGGATTTGAATAGAGGAGAGAATAATTGGTGACCAGAAACTATTGATTTTATATCAGGAATTTTTTGGATAAAATTATCAAGTTAAAGTAAAAAAAAAAGCGTAAAACATATAACTTTCACTGGAATTCAAATTTGTGATAGATCACATGAAGTATTTTCAAATTAGTGTGTGAAAACAAATCATATTATTGTGAAAATTGTGAAGGTCGATCTTAAAATCAGTCACTGTTTTAACCACATCGTCACCGGTATTATTTACTAAATATCACAATGAAAGTAAGCATTATGTAGCAACGATAACAGCGGTGTTCCCAAATGTTTAATGATTTTTTCGAAAGTTAGATTTATGATATTCTGACATAAAATTTGTCATAGCGTTATTTTATATAAATTTCCCTCTAGTGGTCAAGCCGACGCCAAGGCAAACTTCCCAACAACAAACTAGATATTTAGGTCCACCGCCGAAACCACCCAGGGTAAGTCAGCCCATCGAACAAATAAAAAACAATTATTTTATTCTCTAAAAATCACATTAAAAATGATAAAATATAAAATGATTAAACTTTTACAAAAAGATATTAACACATTAGCATATATTATTTTTTTAAGAATACGGCAGCAAAAAAGTTTTTTTTAACTGAATTCGATTTTAAAAAATGATATGTGGACATCTCCAAATTGATTTGATCCTGAAAGAAGGTACCACACAATACCAAGTTGACGGAGATGTTTTAATATTGTAGACATCGGCGAATTAGTATCACACATTGCTCTAATGATTGCATGTGGCTAAAAAAATTAAAATACATTTAATTTGTATTGTATGTTTTCTAATTGTTTGATAGCAGGTTGGCATGCCTAGTTCTATTTCCAGAGTAATTAAAGTTGTTGAAAGAACGACTACACATGAAAATGTAGTTTTATTTTGGTCGTGTCCTGGTATCACTTGTCACATTTGTGTTGCTGCATTCCACACACTTAAATTAAATACGTAATGAAAAGATGAAAATTGCTAAAATATTTTCTCCCCACTGTCAACAAAGATGCGTCGAGTTTGTTATAAATGCAAAATATACATTTCTGAGGACAAACAGCTCTATCGAATGGAATTTATCACTCCACATGTGATAATGGATTTGTTATTGGTGTAATTTTTTTTTTGTGCAACACACGATTTTGTAAAAGTATGTTTATAATATTCTCATGTTTATGAAAAAACTCTTATAAATGATTGTTTCTTCCAGATTCCCATTGTTTCAAACAGAATCAATCGTCTGAGACGTATCGATGTTCTACTCATTGGCAAAACAGGAAATGGAAAAAGTGCAACCGGCAATGCAATTTTAGGAAAACTTGCGTTCAAGAGTGGTGCGAGTTCTTCGTCCTTGACAAAGGAAGTTGAGCACGACGTAGTCAAGTTTGAGGATTGTTTGATTAAAGTTTTTGACGGTCCCGGCGTGGCTGATACGGATCGGAAAACTGAAGCGGAAGCAACTGAATTCATAGTGGAGAAAATGAAACATGCGGTAACCTTGAATCCCACGGGGTACCACGCATTTCTGCTGGTCATCAAGTTTGGGAATAGATTTACAGCTGAAGATCAGTTGTGTGTAAAAATGTTGAAAGGTATTTTCGGAGAAAGCTTCGTGAAAGATTACTGTATTTTGGTGATGACGTGCGGGGACACGTACTGCGAAAAAAAAGACGGAGGAACTTTTCAGACTTGGTGTGAATCACAAGAGGGTGTTTTTCAAGAACTTTATACTGAGTGTAACAAACGTATAGTTTTGTTTGACAACATGTCGAAAGACACGAAAGTGAAGACACAACAGATGAAAAACCTTATAAAAGCGATAGACAGCTTGCAGGTTTCCGGGAAACGGTACACAGACATCCACTTTGAAGAGGCCTTTGAGAATCGTAGGATGCTGCTAGCTAATGCTAAAGAACCTACTTTTAATATCGTAGAAGAAATATTAAACCAGGTGGCTGTCATGTCACAAGAGTTTCAAGAGATATTGACACAAGGAGAAGACATTCAGAAAGAAAGTCTATATAAACTAAAACTAGAATCGGAAGGTCTTGAGAACCAGATCTCACAAATGGATAGCGTGACTGAAAATCTTCAGAATGCTTTCAAAACTGTGAACTATTTGGTACAAGCGATATCACAACAACTACACTTTCTTAATCAGCCCCCTACAGTGAGTCAACAGCAGACGGTTGCAAGGGTATTGTCCGTGGGAGAGTTGAAACATGTAAACACAGGGGACGGTGAGGAGCCAGATCAAAGTGAAATTAACAGGAGATATGGAAATAAACGGATCAAATCCAAATCAGAATTCATGCAAAATTTTCAGAATTCTAAAACATATTGGGATTCAATGGAAGCCAAAGCAGGATACGAAGATGAAAAATTGAACCAAATAAGAGAAGACGAAAGGAGAAGAGCAGAATCTCAAATCGAAGAAGAGAGAGTCAAATGGATGGAAGAGATTGAGGAAATGAAGGAGAGAACAGAACGAATGGCAGAAAATGAAAACGAGCTGAGGCGAACTTTCCAACTCGAGAAGGAAGAGCTGGTACGTACTTTAGAAGACGATATGCAGATGGCGCTGACGATCACCACGAGGACACACACAGGGTATGTGAACATGATCAACGCGCTGTACCACGACACGAAGAGAGCTTACGATGACATCCTAAAAGGTCAAGAAGCTGCAAAAAAGTCCAAATGCTCGATTTCTTAGACATAAATAGATCTAACTTTTGGCACCCGTTTTAAAGATATTAAGGTGTGTTAATTTTGTCATGCCATTTTGATCAACGAAAAATAAAGGCAATGTATCTTTATAGAATTGAATTTTGCTTGTGACAATTTCCAAAAATTTAACTAGTAATGGCATTTAATTTTTCCATAGAAACTATAAGACAGCATTGACTATGTTATATGTCAAAAAATTTTAAAAAACAGTCAGTTATATTTTTTTTCTTCTTTACATTAAAACGATTTTATCAAAATTGAAGTTGAATGGTTAAATGGATAAAGTGGTGTTTGAAAACTTTTCAAAATATCTCGATTGCTTCGACACAAAAAAACATTAAAAATTAATGCACGCAAATGTTATAAACAGTGTTTGACACGGATCATAGAATCATCTATCATCAAAGCGAGCATTTAAATGAATGGGACCTTCGCTGATCTTAAGAATTAGATCATTTCATACCTTTTGTGTTTATCATCTATTGACAAATGTGTATGTCGTATTTTAGATAAAGCTTTATTGATATACTGTGTGTATGTTGAAATGATGCCTATGTAATTTCAAAACCATGTATACATAATATTTATATACCTCCCACAAATAAGAAATATGGAAACCATTTTTTTTAATCACCAGTACAAGACCATGTACGTAGTAAGCTCTTAGCAATAAATATTCAGTGAATAATGAAGTATTAAACATTTTAAACGAATATATAATGTGGAGATTTGAAGTGATCGGACGCTTGGTTACCTGGGTTTGTTCTGCCTCTTTCAAATAAACCATTTGAATTCATCTTAAGTATGTTTTGTATTGTTTGTTTTAATGGATGTTCCCCATATGAAATTAAGTACACTTCATTCAAAAAGGCAACACAAGTTTAATGGAATTTTGTGTGTGTGTGTGTGTGTGGCTTCTCATACAACGTTGATGTATATTTTGTATGCACATTTTTCTTTAAGTTATTTCTTTTTCAAATGTTATTAATCGAAAAGCTGATACCTTAAGTCTCAAACTTTTATTTACGTCAGTGACCAGTAGTATGACTCATGACTTTAATAAAACAACAACCAAAAAAAAGAACACATTTTACAATTTACCTTTTTTTTTTTACATCTAACAAGCCAATTATCAAACTCTTCACTGAAGAAATATACGCTAGTAATTCTGACTACAGGTAATTTTGGGTTTTAAAAAAATAAAATAAATACAAAACATTTAAATTTGGGCTCGTCAATTTGGGATGGTGGCTTATCAATTAAAGTTTAAAGGGAAGTATCTGACCACCATCTCCACTTTCTATCAAATTTAGTCTTTTCTGCCCTTTATAAGTTTAAGGAAGCTGCAGGATTAAACGACGAAAGGAAAGTACCGGAGATTGAGACCCGTCGGCGTTATGACACAAAACAAAACAAAAAATCAGTCCCCTTCCGTGACGACATTAGTGTCAAGTTGTGTGGGCCCTTTGACTTTTCTTTACGTCTAAATAATCGGATCATCTGAATTGCGGAACGGGGAGGGGAAGGTCTGCTGCTGTATTTCCATAAAGCACATTTGCCAGTTTCACTATAGCAATCTTCGAAAAGACTATTTAATTTTTTCTGAGAGACGCGCCAATTTTTTGTTTTAGTATTTATGATAAAAGCGTCGATAACAATAGGTTGCATCAATAGACCACTTCAATAGTTTGCAGCAATAGGTTGCATCAATAGGCCACTTCAATAGTTTGCAGCGATAGGTTGCATCAATAGGCCACTTCAATAGTTTGCAGCAATAGGTTGCATCAATAGGCCACTTCAATAGTTTGCAGCGATAGGTTGCATCAATAGGCCACTTCAATAGTTTGCAGTGATAGGTTCCAGGAATACGTTCCAGTAATATATTAAAGCAATGGGTTACAGCAATAGATTAAATCTTCATCTCTATTTTTTCAAGCATTTGATGACATTTAATTATGCTAGAGATCGTTGTAATGAGATATTGAACACATTCAGATGCATTTAGTATTGTTTATTTTACAGACTTTGTAGACACTTTGTTTTGTAAACTTGATACGTATCAAAAGACGATTCAATAAAATAATCACGAAAGCTCTTACCATCGCACGAACTAAACATCCTTCCCTAGAGGAACTATTTGAAGAAAAAGATATGCTGCTCTAAAATATCAAAATACTTCTAAGGATACATCCCACCACAATATAACAGATAACTAGAATCTGCCAATTTTATCTTTTAAAGTTGGACAACGAAAATGTATACAAATAGTGTTGTTTCCAAGTCTGTACGAATTTAAAGCGATCACGAAATCCGAGCGATCACTAATTAAATCATAATTATCACTTAAGGAGGTCAATTATGGTTGATTTCCATGATAGATAACTACTTTAGATGTATTTCGTTTAAATTTTTATAATTGAAAAATATTGTCTTGGTTTAAATATGTATTTATTTGTGTGCTGAAAATGAATATACACAATGTATTAAAAAGCCGTTTGAATTTATTTGGATCAATGAAGAATCTTATTTCGTCTTAAAATTTTATTTAGTCTCAAGTAAAATTACAATAATACATAATTTTTTAAGTATCAAAATTCTTATAAGAGCCTGGAAATTCACAAGTTTATTTGTGTTATATTAAGTAATTTATTAACCATTTACAACTTTTTTTTTTTTTAAAAAACGAAATAGGAATATATAAAGTGAACAGTAAGCGTAAAATTTCAACTTTATAGAAAATTAATAACATACTTTAAACCTGTCAATTAATGAAACAATATAGGTTCAGATTTAGAAATGGTGACATAGAATATAAATGCAAATGTGTTCGGTACAACAACGAAAACAGTCACATAAATATACATTAAATTTACACAACGTATGTATGTGTATATATATTCTACCTAAACATGAAACTCGTTGTCCGCTTAATACAAAATAATTGTTATAAATATTAATACAATTAAAGTTTATCATCATTATAATGAATCTAAGGCTGTATATATATAAACCCTGCTCCTTAATAATGAACTCTTATTCCGTTAAAGATTTAATTTTTTAAAAAAAATTAACTGATGTTGCAATTGCGATCCAAATAAGGAAATATTTTTTTTAAACAACCATTTTTAAAATAAAATTCTTTTAAAGAATACATTTTGTGACTGTGACATAATGTTTGGGAAAATTAACTTAAAACAAAATATTTACTTAAATTTCTAAATAAATATAAAAAAATCATTAAATGCTAAATGTAAAATGACAACCAATTAAATGAACGTGAGTTGCTCATGTGTGACACACGTACCAAGACTTCACATGTATTTACAGCGTCATACAGGGGCTTTCACTCTGAATGTTTCATTATGTTAGGTCACCGTGCCGTGACGTGCCATGTAGCACTTCTGTGTCCCTATTCCATGTCTACCTGGTGTAACGGTGTGGACCCAGTGAACTGTGTCAACGCACTGTGCATCTATGGAAATCCACTGTGTGTTGTGCTGGGCCACTGTTTGATGTCACGGGTCATTGCATTGATTGGATTGAAATCTTGCTATGGTACTACAATGTGTATCCAGAAAGCGATTTCCCCAAAAATACTTTTTCTTCTTATAAATGTCTAAGACACATTAAAATAATTATTGCCATTACTTCAATTTTTTGGTTAAGCAAAAAATAAATAATTTCCCAATTTTTAAAGATAATATACGATTAATATCCTGGCTCATAAGTCCAAAATAGCAAATCATTTACCATAATAAATAGACCTTCTGCTATTAAACGGTCTTACGGTTTGGCCCACCCAGTGTATTAATTTTCGGGCTAAATAAGCATTTATGAATGTATCTGTTTATAACCTATTATAATATTCTTTCTTTTTTCACTTAACAAACAATATTCAAGCAAAACATTTAACATAATATATGATTAACGCCATTGCTAAGCTTGTGAGACTCACTGGTCTCCACCCACATTCTTCATTATATTTGCGCGATCCGTTAAAGAGTCGGTCATTAAAATGTTACGAAACATTTAGAAAAAATTTTGTACACAATTTAATTTTTAGTGGTCCGGCTTTTATAGAAAAAGACATTCGAATTTTAATGTGAATTCGTCCTCAAGAGAAAAAGGGATATTATTATATATGAAAAAGTATCAACTGCAGGTAAAATATTAGTTTTTTTTTTTTTTTTTTTTTTTTTTTTTTTTTTTTTTTTTTTTTTTTTATTTTGTTTTTTTTTTATTAGTTTTTTTTTTTTTTTTTTTTTTTTTTTTTTTTTTTTTTTTTTTATTTTTTATTTTTTTTTTTTAAAAAAATTTTTTTTTTTTTGGGTTTTTTTCCCACCACTGGCTTTGTGGTTTTTTTTTTTTTTTTTTTTTTTTTTTTTTTTTTTTTTTTTTTTTAAATAATAAAGGGATCTCTTTAAAAAAAAAATTGTGCTGATAGGAAATTTCACGACAACGTGCATCTGGGTTTCTTTTTATTTGAGGCTCTCCTCATCGTGTCGTCCATTAATCTCTTACACTCTTGATATAACGCCATTTGATCTAGTTTTAGCTGGACCTCTTTTCTAAGTCTTTCTTCACGTTCCTCTCTATCCGATATAAATGTAAGGGCCAAACCTTGAGTCTCTATCAATTTTCCTTGCAACTGTTTTATTTGCTCCTCCTTCTCGGATAAAGCCTTGTCTGTCGCAACACCTTGCCTTTGAGTTTCGATCTTAAATGCCTGTCTAGGTTGTGATCGTTTTGACCTTGCAACGTCGTCGAATTCTATTGGTAACTCTTTGTCTGTCACAGTTTCTGAACACGGAACCTGTAATGGATAATCAAAATTTGAGCGCATCTGATCATTTTCATCTTCTTCTATCAGCTTGTGCTCCTCCGATTCCTGACACTCCAAACCTGGGGCTCTCTTCTTTGCATGACCTTCAGGTGTTACTTTGGACTCAATTACAACATCATGATGCTTTTGGGACCGACCTTGTTTTTGGTTGGCGAATTTCTCAAGTGAATCAATTTTATCTTTTATCAATGCCAACAAACCGTCCAATGTCTCAACTGCTTCTTTGAGGATGCCAGTTCCTCTGTCAATAACTAAAATGTCACCTTTAACATCAGTTGCTCTTATGTTAAGCTCGATGAGTTTAACTCTCTGATCCTCTTCCTCTAAACCTGAGATCTCTTCGAGATCCTGCATTATAAAATTAGTCTTAATCACGGTGTCTTCCTTAATCATGGGCTCTTTGCATTCCAAGAAAAATTTATCGCGTTCTGCAGCTATTTCCTCAAAATATTTATCAGTGTATCGTTTTCCTCCAGACTGCAAGTTATCAACAGTCTCAATTAAATTTTTAACTTGAGCATACCTCACGTTTAAGTCTTTTGTCTTGTTGTCGAACAACAAGACCCGATTGTTGCACTCTTGTAAAAGTTCTCGAAATATACCGTCCTGCTCCTCACACCATTTTAAAAAACTTTTGTCGGGATTATCTGCCACGAACATGTCTCCAGCAGTTACTAACAGTATACAGAAATTCTTGACAAAGTCTTGGCCAAATATACTTTTAAGCATTTTTATGCAAACATGGTCTTCAGCTGTAAATCGGTTCCCATACTTAACAACGAGCAGAAACGCGTGGTAGCCGGCGGGACTGAATGTTACCGCATGCTTCATCTTCTCAACAATGAACTGTGTGGCCTTGTCGAAGTCCTTAATATTGTCAGTGTCCGCCACACCAGGCCCATCAACTATTTTCAGGCAACAGTCTTCGAATCTGACCCAATCGTACTCCACTTCTTTTGTCACGGATGAGCTGCTTGGCAGACTCTTAAATACATTCCGTCCAAGGATCATATTACCGGTCGCACTCTTGCCATTGCCGGTTTTTCCAATCAGCAGTATGTCCAAATATCTCAGATGTTTGGAATCACCACGAGAACCCTGAAGATGGAAATAAACGGAGATAATTTTAAAATTGGCAAAATTTAATAATTATTTAAAATAAAATAAAATAATATCAAGGACATAATATTTAAAATGTGTTAGTATTTTTATGCTTAAATAGGATAGTAAACCCCAACTGAAAATTTGTCTAACCAATTTTATATCCAAAATATATTTTTGTTCGTCAAACTTAAGGTTTTCTTTTTACGCCCATCATCAGGATTTTTTATTGTTTGTGTGACTGTCAATACCTGTTCATATTTAATGGTCTGATCTTCAGTGTCCTTAGTGATTTCTGAATTCTATAATATGGAGATATCATATTAAAAGTTACATTAAAGTATATATAAATATATATATATATATATATGGATGGGTGGGTGGGTCGGTGGGTCGGTGGGTGGGTCGGTGGGTGGGTGGGCGGGTGGATGGATGGATGGATTGATGAATGGATGGATTGATGGATGGATGGATAGATAGATAGAAATAAAATTTGACTGATACAACAATTTTCTAAAAAGGCGTGATAATTTAAAATATGTACTTCTTATTCTTGCATTAAAGATTTTAAAAATATTTTCATAGAGTATATGTTAAATAATAATTTTAAAATATATGACATTTATTTCCAATTGAACAATTTTATTAAATGTATAGCATTGTTTATATATGCTGAAATATTTTTTTATGTATCCGTTTTTAAATTTACCAATTGGCACGTTAAGTATACACAATGCAATTAACTTTAAACTTATCGTCGGTAACTTACATCAGTTGAAGTTGACCAATTTTTAACGTCAGCCTTACTGTTCACAGATGAATTCACCATGGGTTTAACCGCTGCCATTTTTTTTAAAAGTAAGAAATTTTGTCAGATCATATTTTTTTAAACAGTTATAATATACATAACACAAATGTCACTAACGACGAAGATGTCAATTAAAAGCCATGTGATGTTTATATCTATATCTATCTATCTATCTATCTATCTATCTATCTATCATCTATCTATCTATCTATATATATATATATATATATATATATATACCTATATATATATACAGAGAGAGAGAGGGTGAAAGAGAGAGAGAGAGTTAATGATGAAATGTTATTTAAGGCAAATGCTGAAACACAGACTACTGTAAAAGGATTAGTTCTAAACTATTTAAATAGTGTTTATGTTGGATAAAAATAAACCATAACTGTTAAACGCCAAAAATATTAATTTTACAAGACCTCCTCATTAAAAATTTACTAACATACGTTCAAAAATGTAGTACACAAACACCTGATTGTTAGAACTTCGATTCATTATAAATCCTCTTAATAAACCTTCAGCCTTTCAAATTTCAAAAATATTTTTTTTTACGAAGAATATTTATGAAGACTTTCAAACCTGCTATTTGCCTGTTTCCAACAGAAGCGGTTTGTAAAGCACTGCCAAAGTATCCAATTTTATTCAAAAACTTTTCACAGGTCAGTTTTTCATTTTGGTCATGAGTGTTACACATGGCGAAGTTCACGATTGTTGAGATCTCTTTACACTGCAGCTGAAATGGAAACATTTTGTATTTATATTATGTTAATCAATATATATATATATATATATATTTATATTAGATTTTAAATTGGAACAGTAACATTAAAACAATTGTTTTAAACTAAAATGAAACATATTGAATATTTAAAGAGTTATTTGTTATGGAGTTGGCCCAATGTGATAGCTACTCACGCATAACAGAAACAGAAATGTATTTAGCGTACTACATATAACTTAAAGAAATCACACAATTTATAACTAAACTAAAGTAGCATGACTACATTACCTGATCGCGTAGTTCCTTATTCTCTGCCAATTTTGTAAGCTCAGAAAGAAGCGTCCAAGCCTTAAAGCCTGATCTGCTTGTTCCTTCAGTATTTTCAAAGGTGTCACGAAGTAAATCGATAAGAACTGTGAAAGAAGATCCTGAAAAGCATACCGGTATTAGTGTATAAAACTATAAAACGTACAGACATACATCTAACATCGAATATGTAATAGCTTCTAGTTTTAAAGATTATTTAAATACAATAAGTCTTTCGATACGTGTCAATTTGACTTACTGTGATCGAAGTTAAGTTTTAAACACATATTATCAGCCCCTTTACAAGTCTACAAAAGAACAATAACATATATTTCAACTGCCTCAAAATGTGTACACGCAAGTCTATTTAAGAAATAAAATGAAATTTTCTCTAAAAACGTAAGCGCTCCAATAAGCAGTTGACACACTTCTGCGGTGGATACTCTTTGGACTAAAGGGGGTTAGTGGTTTCATTTTTTTTTTTTTTTTTTTTTTTTTTTTTTTTTTTTTTTTTATTAGTGGGTGTGTGTGTGGGTGTGTGTTAAATAAGCAACATGGATTAGTGAATTAGTTATTAAAATAAAAAAAAAAATTCTTAAAAAAAAAAAAAAAACAGTACTTTTTATTAATTTCTCCCTCTCACTTTTCTTGCATTGGAATGTCAAAGTGAAAGTGAGCTACATCTCTATTGTGACATCCCAATTACTTAGGATAGCTCTCTGTTTTGTTGTTCTTGAATTTGAATCACGCCACTTCAGCATTAATATAGGATTTGTACATTACTGTAAACATTTTATTATTCAGTTGTTGTTGATTTTTTTAACCATATAATTGGCCAACGTGTCAATACCGTCGATCCCTATGTGTACAGTAATATTAAATAATATCTTCAGGAAATATCTTTAGGACAAAACACGAATAAATTAAAGTCTACAACGTTATCTTTTGGTAGTGTCAGTCGCTAAAAAAAAATTAACAAAGATGCTTTAACATATTTAAGTTAAAACATGCTTATAAAATTGCTAATTTACCGCACTAACTCCCACTGACTGTAACATCCCGGAAAATACCGAATTGGGTGAGACTTGCACTTTATCGTTACGGCCCACGGATACTTATTCCGGCATTCTGTCTATACCAATGTGTAAAAAAAAAATTTTCAGTGCCCAATTTCAATAATATATTGCCGTTTGCTCATTATCAAATTGCGGCTTTGAGCCGAGGCGGATAAATTTGTTGATATTTGTTAAGAGGAATCAACTGTTATAGATATGTAACGTGATCGTGATATATATTTATATCTATATATATATATATATATATATATATATATATATTTAAGCAGCAATTCTTTATTGAATATACTGTTAATATGCCAGGGTGGGGGGAGGAGGGGCAATTTTGAGAGTTTGACCCGGGTGGCATGAAGTCAAGGTATGACACTGAGTGAATGAGAACAAAAAAATGTCCACTTTAATTGACCCAAGAAATAACTGCTTTAGTTATATGGAGAACTAAATTATAAACAATATTAAAATACATGAAAATCTTAGGGAGTGACCAATCGATATAGGACGTAATACGCGCAATGACGAGGGTAAAAGATAATAGAAATGTGAGCATCTTAGTTTTACCCTCTTGCGCTCATCACCAAACACCAATATTAGATTAAACCTCCACCAAAAGTGTTTTATTTTACCTATGTTAATTTTAAGCTTCCTTAGAGCTATAGGAGTGTAGAAATAAGTCAGTGTCAGCAGTGAAAGGACCATCAAATGAGCCTCGCTGTTACTAACGACTTCTTCAAGTACCTAGAATAAAATATTTATGAAATGTCAAATATATTGGTAATACACATATCAAATATATTGGTAATACATATATCAAATATATTGGTAATACACATATCAAATATATTGGTTATACACATATCAAATATATTGGTAATACACATATCAAATATGTTGGTAATACACATATCAAATATATTGGTAATACATATATCAAATATATTGGTAATACACATATCAAATATATTGGTAATACACATATCAAATATATTGGTAATACACATATTTGGCTTTTTTATCGCATAACGTATCCGAACGGTTTTCTGTGGATTTTCCATGAAACCTTAAAAAAAACTATGCCATCTTAGCTGATGAAAAAGGGGGGGGGGTGGAATCATATGGAGATACATACATATATATATATATATATGTCTAACGCTGTAGATAGTGTGTCCGTCATCTTTATATACATTTTAGTGAGTGTATGTGGTGTAGCTATAATGTCTTCCTGTAGCTGTTGCTATGTAGTTTGTAGTGTTAGAGTTTATGGGGGTGATATGCTCCAATTTGAGCATTACGTTATTCTAAAGGCAAATCTGGAAAACCGAACGCCCATTGAACATAGCAGGACATTCTAGTGAGAAGGGGTGAATAATCTTCACCCCGGAAGAAACAACGTTGACACTGCCAGAGAAGAAAGTGCAGCCATTTTTCATAGAGCAGATCGTGCAACTCGAGAAAAAGCGGAAATTTACCAAATATATTCACCCTGAGTAGACTCTGTGACCCATGTACTACCCTTAGCTTTTCCCGTATGGGTATTCATATTGGAACATAAAGCTGTTTGTCAAAGCAATATTTCTTAATTTCAATGGTATTCATATCGTTGTGCCAATTATGATCGAAACTTTAACCTGTTCCTCAACACAGGAAAGCTGACTTAACAATGCGTTGCTGATGTATACTGCAATTGGTGATAATCACCCAATATCATATGTTCGAATGCTAATCACCTGCATTGTTTGTTATCACATGCCTATTTAAAAAGACACCCAAAAAATACGTCAACTAAAAATTATGTAAGTTCAAGTGTACCCTTTACCTCGACTGTCTTGGCCAAGACAAATTCGTCTGAGTTCGTTTTATTCACAGCAATATTGTGCAGGATGACGATGTAGCATCTGACATTTTCATTAGAGTCCTTTAAAAACACAAAGGAAAGCTTAATTAATGCCACACACTATATTTTTTGTCCAAAGTAATTTAATGTACAAGATCAAAACACATTTCTATAGTATTAACGTGAAAAGATGTGCTGAGATTTCTTGAGTGGTATAGAAAAGGGTAAGTAATTTAAACTCACAATACATTTAAAGGGGTGGTGGAGGTCAGATTAGGAAAAGACAGGCAAAAGGCTCGTGTACATTTTTTTTTTTTTAAACACAAAGGGAGAATGGTCATAACAGTACAATTGTATTAGAAATAAAGGATAAAAATCCAATGAGTCTATTTATTTAGCCGGAAATCAATTCTCTCTCTCTCTCTCTCTCTCTCTCTAATTACTGCCTAAAATTAGTTTGTTTTCTGCATTATTTCAAATCAAAATGAAAAATACCATTTGTATTAAACACGAAAAAATATAATTATTATCATTATTTACCTTTCCTGGTTCTGATAAACTCGATTTGATACACGCTGTAAAAAATGGAACAGCTAAACATCTTGCAAGCTCCTGCAGATTTAAAAAAAAATACAACTAATTAAATTGAGCCATAAAAGTAGTCATATTTGTATGAAAATGGTATATGACAGGTTAACGATTTTGTTATAGAATTTTGTTTTTATTTCACTTTCAATTTTGCTAGAAAACGCAACCTTTTGATGAATCAATAAAAAACTTAGGAATATTGAATTTTTTTTTTTTTAAATTTGCAAGTATTTTGACCTAAAAGTTGTCTGATCGATGGACATTTACAAAACAACTATATCAAGTGAAATAATTAGCTTATTCCTGAAACACTCAGGTACTTAATGAAATAAATTACTACAGATAGAATCTCTAGAGCCTTTTAACGAAATTTGAGATTTTTCTATTGATATTTTATAATCATCATAGTGGTTTGTCACAGACACTTCACTGTTATCATCACTGAATAGAAGCCCATGATTTTTGTGTACTCGGAAGCCATGCTGTTTGGTTTTTGAGTTGTCATTAAACAAAAATTTAGAGAAAACTCTAGACGATATAAGAAGCCAAACAGTAACAGTATTGAAATTCCCGCATACGTGGCTTGGTAAACGGTGCATATCTCCAGTCCCCCCCCCTCGTGTGTCAAGTAGAGAAATGCTAGGTATGCTTTTACGCGGAAGTTTCAGTACTGATCATTTTGGCGCATACTGTATTTCATAATTGGTGAGCAGAAAAAAAATGAGTCATGCTGAAGTATGTTGTACATTTTTCTCATTGACTACCTGGCAGAATACGTCGCTGCAACTGGAAAACTTCTGGCACAGTTCCAATACGACAGGTCTTAGGCTGCTGCTATCTTGCCCATCACTCTTCAGTAGGTCCATCAATTTCTCTGGTGATGTTTATCAAATTTTCCAAATGTGTCAATTTGATAAAGAATGTGTTTACTAAATTGTATGCATTTAATTAATTTAGATTTTCTGTTTTCATATCGTTTTTATGATTTCTATTCCAAATATTTGATAGAAAGTATTAATTTAAGTTACCTGTTATCTTGTACTGATTAAGAAATACCGCAACTTTGACTCGATTCGTCTTGTTGAAATCATAGATGTCCAGTAAGACATTAAGATGGCCGATTAGCTCATTTTTGTCTACTGAATATTCACCAGTGAATTTAAAAGCTATGTTTTTGTTAATATTTTCAATGGCTGATAATCGAGTACCTTGAACTGGATAAAATCTCTTTGTTCGCTCTGAGTACACCTAAGATGGAGTAAGTTATTGTATATTTAAAATTTAAACGGCTGTCAAATATATATATATATATATATATATATATATATATATATATATATATATATATATATATATATATATATATGTGTGTATGTGTGTGTGTGTGTGTGTGTGTGTGTGTGTGTATATATATAATATATATATATATATATATATATATATATATATATATATATATATGTATATATGTATGTGTGTATGTGTGTATGTGTGTGTGTGTGTGTGTGTAATTATATATTTATTATGTGTAGGACTAATTCTTAATAAAATTTAAATTTTAAAATGCCTCATTTATATTATTTGTGGTTATTATACATAAATGTATATGCCAATGTTATAGTTTTCAAGCCAGTTTTAACTGAAAGACTATCATTTGGCATAAAATGATAATATTTATCGTCAAAATTTGAACTGAAAACAATTTTGAAGCAGTTGACTTGGGCTGTTGTTGGCATTTATTAAGTAAATATAATTAAATCACCCATGAAAAATAGCTATGTCCCAAATAGTGTATAAAATCTAATTAATATGTATTTTCAAATAAATACCAAATGTTTATTGGATATATAAAAATTTAAACACTAATACTTTTTTAATAAATTATAGTTAAACTTCATGAAGTACTTTGCAGTTTTAGAATATTTCGTAAAGCGACTACTTCATTTCAGGAAGAAAAAAAAATTAAAATTAAATAAATTGAAGGAGAAATCATTAATAATTGCAAATAAAAACTAAATGAAACATTTTTATTTCTTTGTAATTAAGATTTGTAATTGATTTCTGGGTTTATAGTTACATTACCCTGTCAACATTTCTTTGCGCTTGTGATTGACTCTTGTCTTGACTTTGCTGGACATCACCTGACCCTCTGATCAGTGTTTCAAAGAATTAATTGCGATTGAAATCTTCAATTAATGTAAATTAAATCACTTCAATTATTTTTTTCAGAAGGATAAGATAAATTTATTAAAATTTTTATTAAAGCATGACAGAAAAGTTAAGTAATGTAAAAATTTACTTTCTATGTGACTGCAGTGAAAAGTTTAAATTTCGTGGGTTTTAAAGTCTTAAGAAATTGAAATGTTTAACAAATAATACCCCCAAAATTATTTTGAAATTTTATAGAGAATTACATGTCTGTAGCACGGCAAGTTGATCTCGTTAATGTTACCTTTTGGCCTCATCACATCCTTCAGCATTACTTTCCGACATCATGAAATTCTAAAAATCTGTAATAATTTATTGAAAAACTCAAAAAAACTATGATTGGGATTTGACAAGGACACATCACTAATGGAAAATCAAATCTACTGCTCAAAGGAAAGAAGATATGACGTTTGCCTATGGAATGGTTCGAGTTACATCTGTAAAATTTTTTATTTGTTTTGTAGCTTTTTTAAGAAGGCATTAGTGGTTTCAAGATGATTTGAAAATGTTGCTATCGCCCCAAAATAATACTTTAAATCAAATATTTTTACTTTCGTCAGTTGAACTAAAACATAATAGCATTTTATAGAATTAAAAACGTATTTATAATAATATCTCACTGCATTAATTATAAAAAGAGTTGGTGATGATGGAGGATGAGAGTATTCATTCTTAGAAGATCCTTACTTTTGTTTATTCAATAAGGTGTAATTTTCAAGTGAATTTTATTATCTAAATATAATAATCTATATCATGACCCATGTCTTCCCTAAGACCATAATTCTTCTTTAAACGACAAAGGCTTCTCAAATATACATAGATTGTAAAAAAAAAATCCCTTAATCAGGTGGTTCCAAACCGATGTGTCGTGAGATCCTCTTGAGAATCAAAAACAATAGTTACGTCTTTCTAGGCTAACTGTCCTCCAACTTCGGCGACAGAGATGAAAATTTAGTCTTTACGTTCACATTTTTATAAAGTTAAAATGTATAATTCGCGACTTTTTATGGCCGTGAGATTCAACGTGTATGCGGATAAAGGGGAGAGACAACAAACTGGTGAGTTTATAAGGAATTACGCGAAACAAAGTATGGGAAATCCTGAAATAAAGAACGCAACAAAACAAGACAAGTGTCGGCAATAAGCCTTCTTCGGCGAACAAGACAATATAAAATTTAAAGAAACATTACAGTTATCGAGAGGACGGCAAGACAATTGTGATGGAACATTTTTAGGTAAGAGAGTTAATGCTGGCAATAGGGGGCGGAAGAAAGGAGACGTAAGTCCACTAAGATTCGTTGCAGTAATAGGGGAGTGAGAAGAGATTTCACAAGAGAAGGAGAAAATGTCGTTCATGCCATGTGGTGTCAAGGTCCCATAAGTCTGAGACGGTTTGTTCTCTAAGTTCCCCTTGGCGGGCTTGTTGGTAACTGACAGAAATGCGGTGACAGCCAGTTCTCTGGAGAACTTGTGCTTGAATTTATTGTGCGCATTATTTCAATATATTTGATGTGTGCTGATGCATACATATAATTATAGAGAGTAAGGAACTAGTTGAATGGCCACATTGTAATAAAACATATAGTGTTGTCTATGCCGATTTGTTTTTACAATGCTTACATAAGGAACAAAAAAATAGCCCCCCCCCCCGGCCCTAGACAGGTGCATTTTATGATTTCAGTACCCTTTGGTGTTTGCAAATGGATCGTCAAGTATATGTGTAATAAGTTTGGTCAAGATCCATCCATTCAGTAGGAGTGTGTAACAGACCATGTTTTCACAAGAAACCAGAGAGGTAGCATGAGTGAACAGTGAACTGTGTTGAACATATTTTCCACGAGGAGAGAGAGTGAATTGTATTTTTGAGAAGCAAATGTGAGCTCCACGTTTTTGGAGAGTAAATTAAGTTTTTTGTAAAGCGGTCGTTTCCATGCTTTGCTGGGTAATAAAAGGGGCAGTTGATTGAATAGTGGAGCTGAGTGAGGACGTGTTTTTTCTGAGAGGTGAAATATTATATATATATGTGAAATGATTACATTCATGCAAGGATTATTATTAATATTATCAGTGTAAAGTGTGATATAATAAAGTACTGTAAGTTTAACCAGAATTCAGTATACTTCCGTGTGTGCCTGGATAAGTGAGTGGATAAGTAAGTGGAAAATGGAAGAAATCTCAGCCGGCATCCTGAATCATTAATATAAAACAAGTGACCATGCTACTGACATAACGCACTAAGAAATAGCATGTCAGAGAATGTGTTACAGAGCAGTTATTGGTAAGTTTATGTATATGGATTGTTATGTCTTGGTCTGATGATATCTTGAGTCATCTTAACTGGAGAGTTGTTTTAAACATTTGGGGTAGAGTTTACCCTGGCATGGATAGAGCTAATCACTAGACGAAGGAAAGGTTAAGTGGGGGAAAGGAGTAAAGTTTTTGTCCTTGATTTTTTGTAGAGTTAAGCACATGACTGGTGGTAGAGTTTAGCACAGGCCGGGGAGGGGGTCGTTGAGTATTGGTCTAGAGAAGATTTGAGCAATAAAAAGGGAGTAGAGGTTAGAATTGGATTAGTTGTAGATTCGAGAAAAGGAATGGAATTGGAACCATTTACTGTGGGGGGGGGGGGTAGACTTGGTAACAGACGTAAAGCAGAGTTATGTCCTGGATTTTGTTTTAGAATTAAGACATGGGTTGAGGGTTAATCAGAGTTTTGGGATGTGGGTAAGGTGAGTTTTGACTAGGGTATGTGAGTAGACTAGGGGTTGATTTGAGTGATTGAATGGGGTAGAACTGAGTCACGACCTGGGATTAGATATCGGAATCTAACTGTGAAAGTGACGACACTCGTGAATTTTTTTGTGGCTATCATTTTTAACAATGTATCAGATGCAGAACGAAAACCCTTTTGAATTATTGTTCAAGGTATTTAAATAATTGAACACAAATAATTTTAATTCAATAAGAATACCTGTCAAACCTTATAAATATTCCTTTAAGCAGGCACAGTGTTTCTAAACTTATTAACACTTACTCAGCTTACATCTAGCTAGACAAATTTAGTGAATTATGAATCGTGTACCAAGATTAAGTCTAAGTCTCTAATGGAATATACGAACAAGCTATTTTACTTACTAACTGGCTGTAAGTTGATATCTTTATTTAGAACTCTTGAGGTAAACGCCATAAGAACAGTTTCACAACAAAAATAGATATAATTTAAACGTTACTAGACTAAGGCACAAAAGTAATGATCACTTTAATTTAAAGCATTAAGCTGCCGTGCATACTTTTTGGCCAGGATCCACTAGACACCTTGCAACATTTAAACAGCCGGGAATGTCCCAGTAGGTTTTACATGACTGAACAAGGTATGCACCAATCAGGAAAGGAGATGTGAAACATGTGACAGGCGTCGCTTCTTGTATTGTCAAGTGATGTAATCATAGAATAGCCGGTGTTCAGGAGCCGATCTTACTTACTTTTTGGCAATACGAGGTAGAGATCTTTTCGGGCTAGTCAATAACGCTATTGATAGATCTCAATAATGCTATTGATAGATCTCAATAACGCTATTGATAGATCTCAATAATGCTATTGATAGATCTCAATAACGCTATTGATAGATATCAATAATGCTATTGATAGATCTCAATAACGCTATTGATAGATCTCAATAATGCTATTGATAGATCTCAATAACGCTATTGATAGATCTAAATAGCGCTATTGATAGATCTCATAAACGATATTGATAGATCTCAATAACGCTGTTGATAGATCTCAATAGCGCTATTGATAGATCTTCTTAACGCTATTGATAGATCTCAATAGCGCTATTGATAGATTTCATAAACGCTATTGATAGATCTCAATAGCGCTATTGATAGATCTCATAAAAGCTATTGATAGATCTAAATACCGCTATTAGCTAGATCTCAATAACGCTATTGATAGATCTCAATAGCGCTATTGATAGATCTCAATAACGCTATTGATAGATCTCAATAGCGCTATTGATAGATTTCATAAGCGCTATTGATAGATCACAATGACGCTATTGATAGATCACTACTTATGGAGATGTTAAGGGGGAGAGGGGTATTTCTGTATCAGCTTCTATAAGAAGCGTAGGTAGACTCACCCGAGGACAAGATTCAACTTAAAGAGCCTCCTTTTCTTTTTGTCAACACTCCAACCCATTATTTTCCTTAATAAAAAATATCAAATCACGTTTTTGCGCCCCAAATAGTCTGTTGCTCCGAAAAATTTGCCCCCAATTGCCCCCCACTTAATTACGCCTCTGGCTGCAACTTCTAAAATTGCACTCGTCAACACAAAATAAATAATAAGCGAAAAAAACACCAAGAATGATAGTTGTAATGCATACTTTTGAAGATATCCTGTCGTAATGTAAAGAATTTTTTTTTTTAATTGCATGCTCATATAAAATGTAATACTAATGATCATTTAGTTTCAATCATCATCATGTTTTACAATGTCAAAAATGAGTCGGTTAATTGCATTATTCTTTGAATATTTTTAAAACATGCGTATTTAACCACTCGGGAAAATAGCCTATTAGTTCAAGACAATAAATATCTTGTTAAGAGATGTGCAAGTAATAAAAATGAGAGTCAAGTAAAATCCTACTGAAATGGTATGACTTATAAATGTAATTAAATGTGATATTTATTTATTTATTTAGGCATTTTTATATAGCGCTTACCTAAAAGCTCTAAGCGCTTCATAAGTTTAACAAGATGTACATTATTTAAATTGCTAAAGTAAAATAAAAATGAAAACCCAGAGACACTAGAATAGTAACTATGTTAAAAATGACTATAGAAACAGTAGCTTAAACATTAAAATGGCTATATACTTTGGCACGTTTTGGCCTATACTACAGGATCAACCCGAGACAGAAAATGAGGCAGGACGAAGAGGGTGCATCACAGGTCATAGGCGGACCTAAACAGATGGGTTTTAAGGGACTTTTTGAAAGTGGACGAGGTTTTACAATGACGGATGTGGAAGGGGAGCTGGTTCCAGAACGTGGGTGCATGGAAGGAGCGTTCACCGATGGACTTAGTTTTGGTTCTTGGGATTGAGAGGGTTCTATTGTCAATTGAAGAGCGTAGTTGTCTTGTGGGGATGTAAGGAAGCAACAGTTCAGAGAGATAGACAGGAAAGTTAGGGTCAGTGAACGAGTTGAAGCATAGATTGGCAGACTTGTACTTGATGCGAGAGGATATTGGAAGTCAGTGGAGTTGCCGCATTTGTGGTTGAATGTGGTCATGTGTCTTTGATTTAAAAATGAGTCTGCATGCTGATTTCTGTGCCTTCTGAAGTTTGTCTATGTGGTGTTGAGGAATGCCTGCAAGAAGAGTGTTACAGTAGTCAAATTTTGAAAGAATGAGTGAAGAGACGAGAGTTTTTGTAGCATCAAAGGAGAGGAGGTGTCTAATTGTGCTGATTTTTCTAATTTCATTGCTTGCTGATCTGCATATGTTCGTGACATGTTTGTCCATGGAGAGAGTGTCTATAAACGTGACTCCAAGGTTTCTGGCAGAGGAAGAGAGTGTGATGTCAGAGTTGCCGATAGATACAGAAAAAAGAGCGGATGGAGGGAGAGGTTTATTTTGAGAGTGGATGAGAAGGATTTCCGTTTTATCATCATTTAGCTTCAGTTTGTTGCAAGTCATCCAAGTTAGATGTTTTAATGGACACCTTATGATATCCCCATAAAAGTCTAAACGTGTGAGGCGTGTTGCCAATACCGAGCAGTGGACGATTTTTGAGACCTTCCCAAGACAGTCGGAGACACGCGTATAGATCTTAAACACATGTGTGAATAATATTGTATTAAACAGTCATTGTCCCAAGAAATTATTGTTTATCATTCGTTTAAGCAAATCTCTGCTCTAAAACGACAACCATAGCTGATCATTTATTTAAGAAAGCCTCAGCTCCACAAGGACAAACATATTTGATCATTTATTTGAGCAATTTTCTGCTCTACGTGGACTAAACATAGTTGATAATTTTTTTTATAAAAAAGAAGTTTCTTATTCCATTTATGATAAAGAGTTTGGGTTTTTTACTATGTCGTTGGGATTCATAAATGTGCGATACTTGAGTTTATGTTTTGTCAAGTAACTTTGGTAGATCGGAAGTTTCACACATGACTGTCGCCAATGTTTGGTCAGCTATAGCTAGTATATATATTTTTTTAAAATCCTTTTATTAAGTTACTTTTTTTAATTGTTTCAAAGCAGAATTAAAAACACGATTTGTATGTTGTAAGCGTCTGCAGTTTAAAAAAAAATAACTCAATTAAATGGTGACATTACAAAATTTGTCGAATATATTTATAATGTAAGCCATTTTAAAGGGCGAAGAAGGTTGGTCGGGGCAAGCAAGGCGCATATTTAATATTGGGGTTAGATTTCGGTGATAGCCTTCTCTTAGATGAGTTGCCAATCCAAGGTAAACCGAGCTCCATCCTCCCGGGATGCCGGTGTGGTTTTTGCTTGTCGAAGGGGAGTGAACGCCAGTCCATGAACCTGGGACTGATTCAGTTTAGACCTCTCGGCTACCCAGCACCTTCTCCTTGCTGTACACACTTATGTGAGCCATCTGCGTATCAACAGATAGATTCAGCTCTAGCAACAAGTCTATGTTTAGAATGGTCATGATTGATATTCGACGGATGAACAACCATAATGGCCTGGGGGAGCAAGGGTAAAACAGGGGCAAAAGATTACAATTTATTCAAGTTATATGTGTTATTTTGTGTAAAAAAATCGCCAGTTTTGTATTAATAAACACTTAATTTGTTTTAATAAACACCATATATGTTTTTATAGACAGCTTATTTTTTTAGTAGACACCGTATTTGCTTTGATAAACACATTATTTGTTTTAATGGAGACATTATTTGTTTTAATAGACACCTTAGATGTTTTAATGGACACCTTATCTGTTTGAGTACACAACACATTTGATTTACTAGACACCTTATTTGTTTTAATAGACATATTATTCGCCTTGTTAGACACCTTGTTTGCTTTATTAGACACCTTATTTGCCTTATTAGACACATTATTTGCTTTATTAGACCACGTTATTTCCTTTATTAGACGCCTTGTTTGATTATATTGGATTTTTGTATGATGAAAGCAGTCACTGTTTTATTTTGAAGAAGAGGTGGGATGGGGAAGGAAGATGGGGGAAGGAAGATGGGGGAAGGAAGAGGGGGGAAGGAAGAGGGGGGAAGGAAGATGGGGGATATATTTTAAAATAAATAAGAAAATAAACACACAAACAAGCAATTTAGGAAAAAATAGATGAGAGAGTCGGAGTAACAAGAGTGTGCAAGAGAGAAAGAGAGAGAGAAAGAGACAGCGAGCAAGCGAGGGAAAGAGAGAGATTGAGCAAGGAAGAGATGCATAGAGAGAGAGAAAAGAAAGAGAGAGAAAAAAAGAGAGAGAAAAACAGAGAGAAAAGAGAGAAAGAGAGAAAAGGGACAGGGAGAACGAAAAAAGAGACAGAGAGAAAGAGCAAGAAAGAGAGAGAGAGTGGGGAGAGAAAGAGAGAAAGAGACAGCGAGCGAGGGAGAGAGAAAGAGTGGGACAGGGAGAGAGAGGGTATCGTTATGAAATATAAAGAAGAATTCAATAGCAACGCTAAAAGCGTAGGGGTTCCTTGATGTGAAGTCAGTCATGCGGTCCTCGTTGGTTTGCCAGCACGACAGCTTATTTCAATGACCTTCAAAACCCGCGGGTGGAGAAACACACTGTTTTTCATTTTCTGAGAAAATTTGGTACTGTAAACCTTCAACTGACTCCAATATGTCCTATATTTAAACTTTTGATCACGCAAGACGTATTTAAAAAAAAAACAAACAAATCTTCTCCCTTCTATATTTACAAGGTCCCAAAATTGAAAAGGAAAGTAAAACATAATCAATCCCGTACAATGACATCAATGCAAACTAAAAACTTCATTTAAAGACTTCATATGAAGAACATTTATAGGGGATGTTTTTAATTAAGTGCTTTTCTTTTTTTTTAGGGGGGGGGGGCGAGGGGTGGTGGGGATAAAATGTTTCCATGTATCTGGGTACCATGGTGGAGGGGATAAAATGTTTCCATGTATCTGGGTACCATGGTGGAGGGGATAAAATGTTTCCATGTATCTGGGTACCATGGTGGAGGGGATAAAATGTTTCCATGTATCTGGGTACCATGGTGGTGGGGATAAAATGTTTCCATGTATCTGGGTACCATGGTGGTGGGGATAAAATGTTTCCATGTATCTGGGTA